CTCTTATTTTGTTTGTTTTGTTTTGTTTCTTAAATTCCACATATGAGTGAAATCATATGGTATTTCTTTCTCTGACTAACTTACTTTGCTTCGCATTATATCCTCTAGATCTATCCATGATGCTGCAAATGGCAAGATTTAATTTTTTTTATGACTAATATTTTATATAAATAGCTTCCATTTATATTTTATATAAATAAATATATATAACTTCCATATCTTGGCTACTGTAAATAATGCTGCAATAAACATGGGGGTGCAAATATCTTAATTTACTAGTGTTTTTTGTTTTCTTTGGGATAATATCAAGTAGTGGAATTATTGGATCATATGGTAATTTTGATTTGTTTATCGCAGTGGCTACACTAGCTTACATTCCCACCAACAGTGCACAAGGTTTTCTTTTTCTTCACATCCTCACCAACTCCTGTTATTTCTTGTCTTTTTCATTCTGGCCATTCTGACCGGTGTAAGTTGATACCTGATTGTGGTTTTAATTTGCATTTCCCTAATGATTAGTGATATTGAGCATGTTTTCATGTGTCTTGGCCATTCTGTATGTCTTCTTTTGAAAAATGTTTATTCAGGGCGCCTGGGTGGATCAGTTGGTTAAGCAACTGCCTTCGGCTCAGGTCATGATCCTGGAGTCCCGGGATCGAGTCCTGCATCGGGCTCCCTGCTCAGCGGGGGTTCTGCTTCTCCCTCTGACCCTCCCCCCTCTCATGTGCTCTCTCTCAAATAAATAAATAAAATCTTTAAAAAAAATGTTTATTCAGGTCCCCTGCCATTTTTTTCAAGTTTTTATTTAAATTCCAGTTAGTTAACATACAGTGTAACATTAGTTTCAGGTGTAAAATCCAGTGATTCATCAGTTACATACATCACCCAGTGTGCATCACAAGTGCCCTCCTTAATGCCCATCATCCAATTACCCCACCCCTCTACCCACCTCCTCTCTAGCTACCCTCAGTTTGTTCCCTATAGTTAAGAGTCTCTTACAGTGGGGCACCTGGGTGGCATAGTCATTTAAGCATCTAATTCTTGGTTTTGGCTCAGGTCGTGATCTCAGTGTCCTGAAATCGAGCCCTGTGTAAGGCTCCATGCTCAGCATGGAGTCTGCTTGGGTTCTCTCTCCCCTCTCCCTCTGCTCCTCCACGCCCCCCCCCCACAGGTGTTTTCTCTCTCTCTCTCTCTAAAATAAATAATAATAATAAATTTTAAAAAGAGAATCTCTATGGTTTGCCTCTCTTTCTCTGTTTTTATCTTATTTTTCTTTCCATTCCCCTATGTTCATCTGTTTTTCTTAAATTCCACATATGAGTGAAATCATATGGTATTTGTCTTTCTCTGACTGACTTATTTCATTTAGCATAATACACTCTAGTTCCAGCTATGTCATTGCAAATGGCAAGACTTCATTCTTTTTGATGGCTGAGTAATATTCCATTGTACATCTGAGTAATATTCCATACCACATCTTCTTTATCCATTCATCTACTGACAGACATCTGGGCTCTTTCCATAGTTTAGCAATTGTGGACATTGCTGCTATAAATATTGGGGTGCATGTGTGTATGGAATTTTTTTTTAATCCATTCATTGATCCTATGTGTTTTGATTGGAGAATTTAGTTCATTTTCATTTAAAGTAATAATTTATACATATGTACTTATTGCCATTTTGTTAATTGTTTTCTGGTTGTTTTGTGATTCTTTTCTGTTCCTTTCTTCTTACTCTCTTCCTTTGTGGTTTGGTGATTTTCTTTAGTGTCAGGCTTAAATTCCTTTATTATCTTTTGTGTACTATTATAGGTTTTTGCTTTATGGATACCATGAGGCTAACATATACTAGAGTGTGTGTGTAAGTACACAGTCTCTTTTAAGTTGATAGCAACTAAATTTGAATGCATTCTAAAACTATATTTTTACTCCCCATTTTTATGTTTTTGATATCACTTGTACATCTTTTTTTGTATCATTTAACTGATGATTAATGTAGTTGTAGCTATTTTTACTACTTGTTTTTTAACCTCTATACTAACTTTATAAGTGATTAATCCACTACCTTTACTATATATTTACCTCTACCGATGAGATTTACATTTTCATATGTTTTCTTTTTTTTAATTTTCTTTTTTTATTTTAAAAGATTTTATTTATTTGACAGAGAGAGATTTTAGCCATTCTAATAGGTGTGTAGTGATATTGCACTGTTTCAATTTGCAGTTAAACTATTTTTGAAAAAACTTTTTTTAACCTCTAAGAGTCAGATGATTATATTTGGAATACTTTTCATATCAGTCAGTTTTTAGATGTTAGAAACTAGCCTGAGAGGAGGTTTAATTCTGGAAAATGTATCTTTTACAATAGTTTTGATGTAAAAAGCATTTTTAAAAACAAATTTTGGCTCATGTGTGAACACATACTGATAAGCTGAGGTTTTCTACTTCTGATGGGGCTGCAGTCTTTAAGAAGAAAGGCAAGCATTGTTGTCCTTTGAAACAACATCTCCTGGATCTCATGTTGGTGTGTGTGCATGAATGAGTCTGCTTTTATGCTTGTATTTTTTTGTGTTGAGTATCTATTTTGAATATGCATAATTATGCTTTGATTCCTCATAATTTCTTATTGTATAGAATTGATTTGCATTGAGCATAAACTGTAAAGTGTGAAATATTTCACTTAGCATAATCTCCTCCAGTCCCATCCATGTTGATGTGAAAGTTGGTTATTCATCCTTTCTGATGGCTGAGTAATATTCCATTGTATATATGAACCACATCTTTATCCATTCATCTGTTGAAGGGTGTAAGTCAAGCAGAGAAAGTCAATTATCATATAGTTTCACTAATTTGTGGAACATAAGGAATAGCATGGAGGACATTAGGAGAAAGAAGGGAAAAATGAAGGGGGAGGAATCAGAGGGGGAGACCAACCATGAGAGACTATGGACTCTGAGAAACAGAGGGTTTTAGAGGGGAGGGGGGTGGGGGGATGGGTTAGCCCAGAGATGGGTATTAAGGAGGGCATGTATTGCATGAAGCACTGGGTGTTATACACAAACAATGAATCATGGAACACTACATCAAAAACTAAAGATGTACTGTATGGTGACTAACATAACATAATAAAATAAATTAAAAAAATAAAAAGTGTGAAATAAGTATGTGGCTAAAAGAGGAGCTCATTTGTTTTGGGGGGCAGAGGATGGGGAAGACCCTGGGTGAGGTGAGGGGGTCACCAAGGCCTTGGGAGTGGAATGGTGAGAGGCAATTCCCTGTCCTCCATGAAGAGGGGGGTGGGGGTACTTGCCACTCCCCTAAGCCAACCCCAAAAGAATTATATATAATTTGGGGGGATGCCACCCAAAATCTTATTTGATATGATTGTTGGCATCTTGTTTGATATGATTGTTGATCTGCCCAGAGAAAGAGAAACTAAAGGGTGTGGTCCTTGGAGATAGCCTGCCTAACTCCCATTTAACACAGCACACACACACAAGGTTTGAGTTTCCTCTGTCAAAAGAGTATCTGGAAAGCTATCTAAATTGAACTATTTTGTTGCACCATCCTTCCCAAGCATGTAGTCTGACAAGTGAGGGGACCCAACATCACAGGAGCATTGGAGTGTTCTTGCATGAACAAATAAAGCAGAGGTTACGGGTTCAGCTAAAGCTGCGGGAACTGAGGAATGCGGAGGACCCAGGGGAGGTTGTGGCTGCACTGTTTCCTTCGTCTCTCCTTGCCTCAGCATTGAGAGAACAGCAAAAGTCTGTCGAAGACAGGAAGTGGAGGTCTCTAGGGGCAGAACAGCCCCCTCCTTAGAGCAGGCATACAGCCTACCAGATGCCAGAATTGGGTATGAGACCAGAGTTTGCAAACTGGACAGATCATTTAATAATTAAAGTTATACGAACACTTTGGACTGTATTATTGAAGAACAAGAAAGAAGGGCTCTATGGAGGCAATCAAAGGCAGGGATTTAAAAACTATGAAAGACATGAAAACATGTCACGTCACTACCTTGTAGTGTTAAGATTATTCAATCAGATGGTTTTGATCTTCAATTATATATTTTTAAAATATTTTCTTGTGATTGTTTCCTACTGGCATGAGGCAGAAGGAAAAAACAGTGGTTTACTTTTTTAATTACAAAAGCAAAAACACACACTCCCTGGAAAAATTTATCATGCCACAGTACCCATAGTATAAATAGACTATATGTTATCTGTTCTCCTAATAGCAAGTAGGTGGTATTCCATCCCTGCTTTCAATGTTTGCAATGAATATCCTCATATTTTCAGGTACTGGTGTGAATATTTCTGTAGATCAGATTCCTGTATTTGGAACTGTTGGGTCAGAGGATGCTCACATTTAGAAATTGGTAGAATTTGACCTCAAAATGTGCCAGTTTATAATCCCACCAAAGATGTATGGAAATGCTCAGTCTATGGGAATATTTGTCTCCCCCTGTAAGATTCCCATGGGGCCAATGATAACTTGACTCCTACCCACTGTTGAAGTTAAGGTCCTCTCTCAGCTCTTCCTGCCCCCGTGAATTAGCCAGACCTGGGCTGCTTCAAGCAAGGGCAGCCTCGTTCAGTTGTATTTTGTACACTGGATTGGGATCCACACATAAGTGCTGTGTTCACCGTTTCCCAGTTTTGAGGAATAGCTCCATGGACAATGTAGACAGTGGGGAGAATTGAACATACCATGTCTTATTTCTTTAGAAATTTTCAAGAGAGTAATGGGGTTTGACCGGAAGGAGGCTTGGGTTTCTACTCTGAATAATCTGGCCTCTTGGGTGGTCTCCAGCTTAGCCTTTATGGTCCACAAAACATGTAGCTGACTAAGATCCCTGGGCTTCCCCATTATTTAAAATGCATCAGTAGAGCTATCAGTTATTTAAAAATAATTTAACTTGCATTTTGCATCAGCTATATGTTTGTTTTTCTTATTTAATGTATAAAAACAATCAAAAGAATAGATAATCACTGTATACAGTCAAGGAACATATTTTTAATGCTATCATATAACATTTGTGAGTAGGACCCCAAAATATTTGCACACTAATGGAAATGATTATAGAAAACCAACCCTTTCTGAATATCATACATGGTATGTTAACAAGGCTATGATTTTTTTAAAAGTTTTTATTTTAATTCCAGTTGTTAATATAGTGTTATATTAGTTTCAGGTGTACAATATAGTGATTCAACAATTCATACATCACCAGTACTCATCACAAGTGCTCTCCTTAATCCCCATAATCTATTTCACCCATCCCATCAACCCTCTCCCTTCTGGTAACCATCAATTTGTTCTCTATAATTAAGGTCTCTCTCTTGGTTTGTCTCTCTTTATTCCCCCTTTGCTCATTTGTTTCTTAAATTCCATATATGAGTGAAATCATATGGTATTTGTCTTCACTGACTTATTTCACTTAGCATTTTAAAAAGTTTTTATTTTACTATTTTTTAAAAGATTTTATTTATTTATTTGACGGAGAGAGACACAGCGAGAGAGGGAACACAAGCAGGGGGAGTGGGAGAAGAAGCAGCAGGCTTCCCGTGGAGCAGGGAGCCTGATGCAGGGCTCAATCCCAGGACCCTGGGATCATGACCTGAGCCAAAAAGGCAGATGCTTAACGACTGAGCCACCTAGACACCCCTGTTTTTTTTTATTTTTTTAAAGTTTTTATTTAAAGTCCAGTTAGTTAACATACAGGGTAAAATTAGTTTCAGGTGTACAATAAGTGATTCAGTACTTCCATACGACAGCAGTGCTCATCACTGCAAGTGCCCTCCTTAATCCCCATCACCTGTTTAACCCATTCCCCCCCCACTTTGGTAACCACCAGTTTGTTCTCTATAATTAAGAGCATTTCTTGGTTTGTCTTTTTTCCCTTTGCTCATTTGTTTTGTTTCTTAAATTACTCATATGAATGAAATCGTATGTTTCTGTCTTTCTCTGACTGACTTACTTCCCTTTGCTTTATACTCTCCAGCTCCATCCATGTCATTGCAAATGGCAAGATTTCATTTTGTATGGCCGAGTAATATTCCATCGTACATATATACCACCTCTTCTTTATCCATTCATCAACTGATGGACATTTGCATTGCTTCCATATCTTGGCTATTGTAAATAACGTTGCAGTAAACATGGGGGTGAATGTGTCCCTTTGAATTAGTGTTCTTGTATTTTTGGGTAAATACCCAGTAGTGCCATTGCTGGATCATAAGGTAGTTCTATTTTTAAGTTTTTGAGGAACCGCCATACTGTTCTCCAGAGTGGCTGCACCTGTTTGCATTTCCCCCAACAGTGTAAGAGGGTTCCCCTTTCTCCACATCTTCACCAACACCTGTTGTTTCCTGTTGTTCATTTTAGCCATTCTGACAGGTGTGAGGTGATATCTCCCTGTAGTTTTGATTTGCATTTCCCTGATGCCGAGCAATGTTGAGCATTTTTTCATGTGTCTGTTGGCCATCTGTATGTCTCCTTCAGAAAAATGTCTCTTCATGTCTTCTGCCCATTTTTTAACTGGATTATTTGTTTTTTGGGGTGTTGAGTTTTATAAGTTCTTTCTAGATTTTGAATACTAACCCTTTATCAGATATGTCATTTGCAAATATCTTCTCCCATTCAGTAGATTGCCTTTTTAGTTTTGTTGATTATTTCCTTTACTGTGCAGAAGCTTCTTATCAGGATGAAGTCCCAATAGTTTGTTTTTGCTTTTGTTTCCCTGGCCTCCAGAGACATGTCCAGTAAGAAGTTGCTGTGGCCAATGTCAAAGAAGTTACTGCCTGTGTTCTCCTGTAGGATTTTGATGGACTCCTGTCTCAAATTTAGGTCTTTCATCCATTTTGAGTTTATTTCTGTGTGTGGTTTAAGAAAATGGTCCAGTTTCATTCTTTTCATGTTGTTGTCCAGGTTTCCCAATACAATGTTTTGAATAGACTTTTTTCTATCGGATATTCTTTCATGCTTTGTGGAAGATTAATTGACCACATAGGTGTGGGTCCACAGCTGGTGACTGAACTTAATCTCCAGCCTCTCTTCACTCTCTGAGTTTAGGGGTGGATGGTGGGGGTGGGGCGAGGGGCTAAATGTCAACCTTTTAATCACATACTTGGTTCCCCTGAAAACCAGCTCCACCCTTAGGGAGCTTTCCAGAAGTCATTTCACTAACATAAATGAGGTGTGGTTGAAAGGGGCTTGTTATGAATATCAAAAGACACCCTGATAGCTCTTATCACTTAGGAAATTCTAAGGGTTTTAGTTCTGTGCCCGAATCTAGGTGGAAGACCATATACTTCTCATTAATCGTAATATCACACCTATCTTGTATTTTCCCTGACTCAGCCTTGGAGTCCATCACTTCTCGAAGGAGCTTTGGTTCCTTTTAGCAGAAAATAGTACTAAAAACTAAGTTCTGGATGCTAGGTGCGCTCTTTGGTACTGGACTGTTATTGTTCCTGTCAAAACTGACAGAGCCAGGAACCATGCGTGTGCACACACAAATCTATCTGTCTCCCTACTTATCATGTGTGTGCATGTGCTCCACCTATCTGTACATTGTAAAAACTGTGAGTTCACAGAGCTACTCTTTCATTTTCTTCTTTCCTCCTTCTGTAGTTCTGTATTTCATCTCTGACTGAAAAACCTCTCAGCACACAGAGGGCATTTTCTTATTTGCCCAATCCCTTGTTGATCAATTCTTGTCATTATTCATCCTTGTCATGATTCATTTTAAAGTTCAAACTGTCCCATAACTGGTCAGTGGAGCATCTTCACCCTGGTTCCTATGGCCCCATCAGTTCCTGAGCACATTTGAACACAAGATGTTCCAGATTCACCTGTACTTTCTCTGATCCAACCCTGGAATCAGCCATTTCTCCAAGTTCATTTCAGTGGGAAATGACATTTTAAAACTGGGATCTAAGCCCCAAGTGAACTCACTACTTTGAGGTATCATTGCTTCTAGACATTTTAGAATACATATACAGAAAGTATTTAAAAAATACAAGTTAACTGATACTTCTTATCCAATCCAGTAAGGTTTCCCACCATTTTTCCCCCATTCCAGTTTCTTTCTGGTCTCCCACAGTACACACTGTGGCTCCCAACAACATGAACTTATTGTTCCTCCTTTGCTTAGTCTTATCATACACACAAACAAGCTTTGAAATTCCCTCTTTTCATTAAAGAAAATCATATATGTATATATATATTCATGCATATATATGCATACATCTATAGGTAAAGTTTCCTCTTTTTGTTTGCTTCTGCTGTGCTGAGTCTTTAGCCTTTGCTGACATTTTGGTGATGTTTCCTCCACTCTAGAGGAAATGTGAGAGCAAATCCCAGCCAGGTGTCCAGGAAGCTGCCAAGGACCCAGGCAGGAAAGAGAGTGCCTCACCACAGGCCCAAGGTGGGATCCGAGGGTTCATAGGGCTGTAACCAGGTATCAGTCTCATCTTCTTCTGTTAGAAGGAGGCATGTCCTTCTAACAGGCAATGGGCAGATGGTGAGGGGATCTGGGTGTTCACCACCATCGTGAGCTCTGGGCCTGAAATATGCACAGAGCGTCCCTGAGAAGGGGTGGGTGAAGGTGAAGATGTGGGAGCCGTCTGATGCGTTGAAGAAGGACAGTTTTCCTGCCTCCCAATCCAGAAAGATGCCCACACGCCGTGGCGGCACACGCAGGGTGAGCGCAATGCGGTGTGGGTCCAGGATGAAGTACTCACAGCGGTTCCACAGCCCCATCACCCAGTAGCCATTGGCTGGGCTTAGGTGCCCCGGCCCCAGGCGAGGAACTGAGGCCAAACATACACCCAGGAACCAGCGGCTACGCCTGCCCACGTGCACTTCCCAGTAGTGGCGGCCAGCAGAGAAGCGCTGACAGCTCAGGACACACGTCTGCTCAGAGAACCGCTGGGGGTCCCCCACCACAGGGCCAGGCACTGCTGTGCAGGAGGACACGCTCTTGCCATCCTCAGAGACTTCCAGGCTGTGGTGCGCCGAGGCTGGATCGAGGGTTACATCCACTGTGCGGAGGCACAGGGTTAGTGCCTGCGAAGGGCGGTTCTGGACCCTGCCTGTCCCTTTCCCCAACAGGTAAACTTCTAGTGCTCCTGGCGGTCACTCCCACCCCTGACACCACCCCTGTGTACTGAAGCAGCTTGCAAGGCACTCCTGAGCACTTGAAAGCCATTAGAAGAATCATTTCTTTCCTGAACTGGAAGTTTCCAACTGCCATTCTAGGTGCTATGGAGAGCAGAGATAGACAACAAGGCAGATTCGTGGGGATAGAGGTGGGCTCATTTCCCCCTATTCCCGGTCAAGGGGAAGGGGCTCCAGGCTCGTTCAATTCCTCACTGATGCCACCACCCTGTGTGACCTTGAGATCATCATGTGAGCTCTGAGCCTCAGTTTTATAGCAATGCTAGCATTTTAAAACTGAAAGGGACCTCTGAGATGATCCAGTCCCATGCCCTGCCCTCTAACACCCATCCCTCAAAGCACACCCATTTGATAGATGGGAACCCCAAGGATCTCTTCTGTCAAATGAGAGGTTCCTACAAACTGGCCCTAGCAGTCTTCCTGCCAGATGGAAACAAATCTAGTAAAACCCAGAAAGTAATGTGCTTTTAGGAGGAGGTGTGTGCACACAAAAAAGTGCATGTGTGAGTGTAATCAGATGTGTGCATGCAGGCGTATGTGTCATGTTGTGTATGTGCAAAATTAGGCTTATGTGTTTCTGTGTGTAGGCTCCATACTTGGATCCTGGACAGATCCTTCCTCCAATCTCAGATCTGTCTACCTTCCTTCTGTTTAAGATCCAACCAACCCCAGTCACAAGTCACAATGCCTTGACTTCAGTTACCTGCATATTGTTGGGCTGCTCTCCACTCTGAAACCAAACAGAAAGGAAAAAGAGATCCAAAGATCTGAGTCAGTAACTCTGCAACCTTGAGGGAGGCTCAAAATGCAATGAGGGATGCTACAAACCCAATGATCCCACTCCCACCATGACAGCGAGTTGGGGGTCCAGACTGGTCTGGGTTCACAATGGCATTTCTCTGGGAATTTAGGATTAGGTTAAGTGGCTGGTGTCAGTGCTGGGTTTTATCAAACCTGCATGCAGTCTAACCTTGTACTGAAAAAGGCAGGAGAACAAAGCATGTGGGCAAAGAGAACCAATACAGGTGGCCGGGATGCCCTGAAGTTTTTAAATCTCTGACCAGCAGGCTCAGTCTGAGGAAGCCTGGCTGAGCATGGCTCCTGTCCTAAAATGTCATTTAGATATCCTGTTTTGCCTCCTTTCTTGACATGAACCGTTCTGAGTGGATTTCTCTTTTATCTTAATCTGCTTTACAACAGAGAGATCAACAAGTCACAAAATAGCAAAAGTAATAGAAATTTTCAGAGCTCCATAAATTTATAGCAGGGCCTTTAAGTCCTGAGTTTACATCAGAATAACTAGTAGTTATTCTTGCATAGAATAACTCAATTCTATAAAGATGTTGATTCTTTCTAAATGTATCTAAAAATTCAAAGCAATCCATGAAAAATTGCTTTTGGATTTTTTTAAGGAATTTTATAAATGTATCCTAAAATTTAAAATGGGCCTAAAAAGGTCCATTCACTTCTAAAAGGAAGCAGAAATGGAGGAAAACTTGTACTTTTGGGTACTATAAAAGCCATAACAGTGAAAACAATGAAGTAATAGGTGGTCAACAGATAGATCAATCTACACATGAGAACCAGAGATGAACTAAAGGCAATACCCACATCAATGGGGAAATCATGAACGGTGTAGTAGATGGCACTGGGAAAACTGACTCACTATATGAAGAAAAATAGCTGTATTCTCACCTAGCACCAAATACAATGGCAAATTTCAGATGGATTAAAGATATACATAGAACACATGTGAAGTGAATCGAAGAAAGTGGAAGAGAGTATCTACGACCTAAGTGTGAGGAAGGCTTTCTTCAACAAAACTTCAAAAACACATGCCATACGGTACAAATTTGATGAATATATATCTGCATAAGGATATTAATCCCTCACTGGTATTAAACACTGTGAATTCCTTCTTCTAGTCTGTCACCTGCTATTAGCTATGTCCTTGGTTTCCCACTGAAAAGAAACCATTAATTTTGATAAAATCTAATTCATCAAATTTTTACCTAATGACTTGTGTTTTTAAAACTTTGTTGATGTATATATATGTGTATCTATATGTCATATGTCTATATATATGACAATATATTGTCATTATGTACATATATGTGTCATGTCCCCTTGAATTGATAAAAGATAGATAGCAACCTCATACTAAAAACAGCCAAAAGGGGCACCTGAGTAGCTCAGTTGGTTAAGCTTCTGCTTTTGATCTCAGCTCAGATCTTGATCTCAGGGTCATGAGTTTGAGCCCCATATTGGGCTCCACACCTGGCATGGATTCTACTTAAAACAATGGCTAAAGGACATGAACTGGCAATATTCAAAAGAGGAAGCCCCAAAAGTCAACTAGCATATGAAGAGATGCCCAAACTTAGTATTCAGAGGAGAACAGACTGAAAGAACAAGGAGCGATCACTCATCCCGATCGACTGGCTGACTCAGAGAGTGCCTTATGTGGGATGTGGGCTCCTGGGAGTCTCCCCGCACTGCCAATGGCAGGATGATGACACTGCCTTCGGGGGATCCCTCTATCCCACTTAGTGACATATCCCCCACGGGCCAGTAATTCCCTTCGTGGGTATACATCCCAGAGAAATCTCCACATAAAGCCAGAAGGTGACACATTTGAAGCTATTCATTCAGTGTTGTGTGTGGTGGTGTGGGGTCAGAGGCGGGCTGGACGTCTATTTGAAGAATATGGCTGGCTAAAATGGAGTACCCTGCAGCAAGGAGAGACGGACCAGATAGGGTGGCAGGGATGGACACTAAAACAGTGATGAGTGAGAAAAGCAAGGAACAGCACGAGACTGTAAACATCATTTACAGAAACGAAAATGCTTGTGCACAAAGCCGAAAATTCACCTTTTGCAAAAATACATACAAAATAAAGCTACACATCAGACTGTTTGCTTTATGTGGGGAATGGAGGAAGGGACAGGGAAAAATATTTACACATAGAGTAACATGCCCACTCTAGACCCACAAGTCAGTCTTTGAGGGTGGGTGCCAGGATCTAGGTGATTCTGATGTGCAACCAGAATTGGCATCAATGGTTTATAATATGCTTACACCTCAGAACAATAGAAAAGTAAATAGAAAAGTAAAACTTGAATATAACCTCTACTAAGTGACATACAGTAATACATGCCATATGCCTATGAAAGAAACCAGAATGAAGTATGGTTGCTGAGTCAGAGTGAGTGACTGGGATGTTGAGATGAAAGTGGACAGTGGGAGGGAGACGAGCTTCACTCACCAGCCTGGCCTTCAGCCCTTCTCCAGTCTGAAGCAGCCATGGAAAAACAGAATTAGAACACCAGGTCAGTGCTGCTTCCCTGCTCCCACATTGCATTTTGTACCCACCCCTGCCTTTCTCCCCTTTTACCTGCCACCCATATGGCTAGCAGGGTTGGGAAACGAGAAGAACATACATGGAAAATCAGATGCTAAAACATGCACAAGAAGAAATAATCTGAAGAAGGGTCACTTACCGAGCTCTGTCTGAAGCTTCTCTGTAAGCAAAACACACAGAGAAAACATCAGTCTCTGGGTGAGGGGAACCACCTTCCCAAGGCAGTTAGGTCACTGGGAGGAGGTTCCTTAGTCTTAAACCACTGCTCACCCCAATCCCATCTTAGTCTCTGTACCACCCATCTGCATGATTCTTATGCCTCATCCTATTCTTTGCTCTAAGGCAGAAATCTGCACAGGGCTAGAAAAGGAAAACAGGTCCTGGTACTGAGGGGCCTCTTCCCAGGGCTCATGTCTAGTTTGAAAGGCTACTTTTCATTTAACCCAAAATCAGAAACTTTTCCTGGGGAGGAGGTCCTTCATAAATCCAGGCACTGAGCACAGCTGGTGTAAACCTCGGGGTCACTTGTTGTGTACATTATTTTAAGGACTGGGAGGACATTACACTCAATTATTTCCCCTGGCCAGATATTAAGACTTTGATATTTTGCCACTAGGAATGCATTCTTTTGACTTCTCCACTTTGTCTTTTTTTAAACTTTTTTTTATTTTTAAAAATATTTTATTTATTTTTTGAGAGAGAGAGAGAGATAGCGAGAGATAGAGCACAAGCAGGGGAGAGAGGGAGAAGCAGGTTCCCCGCTGAGCAAGGAGCCCAATGCAGGACTCAATCCCAGGACTCTGGGATCATGACCTGAGCCCAAGGCAGATGCTTAACCAACCAAGCCACCCAGGTGCCCCTCTTATGTCTTGTTTTAAAAGTAAATCATTCTGGCTAGAGGCTCGGGAAGATAGTGGAGTAGGAGGACCCTGAGCTCACCCCTTCCCATGTTTTCAACTAGATATCATCCACATCCAAGACTGGCAGAGAGATCTAAAAACTGGCAGAAAAAATTCCACAACTAAATATAGAGACAAAACTGCATTTGTTTTTTTTTTTTTTTAAAGATTTTATTTATTTATCTGACACAGAGAGAGAGATAGCGAGAGCAGGAACACAAGCAGGGGGATTGGGAGAGGGAGAAGCAGGCTTCCCGCCGAGCAGGGAGCCCGATGTGGGACTCGATCCCAGGACCCTGGGATCACGACCCGAGCCGAAGGCAGACGCTTAACGACTGAGCCACCCAGGCGCCCCGACAAAACTGCATTTGAAAGGTTAGGATGGTCAGATAGGTAGAGAGAGCAGAGAAATGGGCCCCCACACCAGGGAGCTCACACGGGGAAGGCTGATTCCCGTAACACTTGGCTTTAAAAACCAGAGGGGCTGAATTCTGTGAGTTTATAAAACCAGTGGGACTTGAAGCCTTGTGCTTTAAAGGTCAGCTGACTTAGCAATGGATGAGCCTGGAGGGCAGGTGATAACTGAGTCACTGTCTTTAAGGAGACAGCAGCCCGCACAGAGAGGTAACATAAAAATGGCAGTCTACACAACACTGGGGGCAAATGGGAGACAGATCTGTTCATAATGATTTTGCAGCATGTTAGGGGACTTCAAAAATGAGGGAGCTGGTAGGCATTGTTTTCCTCTCCTGAACCCCCAGCTACCTGTGGGAGGTGGGGCTGCACAGACACTTGCTACCTAACCCATTAGCAGTGTGCCCTTCCCACAAGTTCTCCTGAGGACTAGCCCACACTAAGTCTGCTAGCTTTGACCACAGGCTCAGGGGAAATATTGTTAAAGCCACACCACTCCCAGCTGTGCACCCCCAACCACCATCGTGCACTGGCCCCAGCTGTGCCCAGCCATCCTCATGCTCCGCACCCAGCCTCATGGCCCCAGGAGCTCCAGCAAACAACCACCAGCCACTGCAGCACTTTAGGGGGTCCAACATAGGACCAGTGGCCCAGTGCAAATTTTCCTAGAACGGCGGCCCCACTCCTAAGTTCCCCAGCAGGCACACCCCATCAGAGTTGGACTGCCTGGGTTCTACTAACATCACAGAGAGCAAGCACAGCCCACAACAGCCCACAACAGGCAGAGGGTCACTGCAAATGACTACACTAAAAGGAAAAGTGACTCAGACACAACAGCAGAGTGTAAGCAACACACATAAGATACCCTCCTGACATTCATAACACGCAGAAACACACACAGAGAGGCAGACAAAATGAGGAGACAGAGAAATTTATCACAAATGAAAGAATAGGACAAGGCCAAGGCAGAGATCTAAGTAAAACAGATATAAGTAATATGCCTGATGGAAAATTTAAAGCAATGATTCTAAGGAACTCGCTGGACTTGAGAAAAGAGTGGAAGACATGACTGAGACCCTTAACAGAGAGATAAGGAAAAACATAGCAGAAATAAAGCACACAATAAACGAAATGAAAACACATTTCATGGAAAGAACAGCAGGCTGGAAGAAGCAGAAGAATGAATTAATGACCTAGAAGAAAGAATAACAGAAAGCCAACAAGCTGAACAAAAGAGAGAGAGAAGTATTTTGCAAAATGAGAACAGACTTAGGGAACTCAGGGACTGCATCAAACGTAGTAACATTCGTATTACAGGAGTCCCAGAACAAGAAGAGAGAGAAAAGGGGGCAGAAAATTTATTTAAAGAAATAACAGCTGAACACTTCCCTAATCTGGGGAAGGGAATAGATATGCAGTCCAGGAGGAACAGAGAACTCCCATCAAAATCAGTAAGAGCAGACCCAACCAAGACATACAGTAATTAAGTTCACAAAATATAGTTATAAAGAAAAAATGTTCAAAGCAGCAAGACAAAAGAAGTCAGTAACTTAGAAGGGAAAATCAGTAAGACTATCAAGACATTTTTCAACAGAAACTTTGCAAGCCAGAAGAGAGTAGCATGATATATTCAAAATGCTGAGTGGAAAAGATCTGCAGCCAAGAATACCCTATCCAACAAGACTATCATTCAGAATAGAAGGAGAGATAAAGACCTACCCAGACAAACAAAAATTAAAGGACTTCATGACCACTAAACAAGCTCTGCAAGAATTATTAAAATAGACTCTTGAAGATGTAGTATATATATATATAATGGAATATTACTCAGGCATAAAAAAATGAAATCTTGCCATTTGCAAGATATAGATGGACATAGATGGAGCTAGAAAGTATTATGCGAAGCAAAGTAAGTCAGCCAGAGAAAGATGAAAACCATATGATTTCACTCATTTGTGGAATTTAAGAAAGAAAGCAAAGGACCAAAAAAAGAGAGGGAGAGGCAAACCAAGAAACAGGTCATAACTACAGAGAAAAAACTATGGCTACCAGAGGGGAGGTGGGTTGGAGATGGGTTAAATACATGATTGGGATTAAGGAGTGCATTTGTGATGAGCACTGGGAGGTGTATGGAAGTGTTGAATCACTATATTGTTCACCTGAAACTAATATTACAATGTATGTTAACTGACTGGAATTTCAATAAAAACAACAACAAAAAAGACATAGGGTGACAAAACGGATAAAAAAAGAAGACCCAACTATATGCTGCCTACAAGAGGACCATTTTTATGCGCCTGGGTGGCTCAGTTAGTTAAGCATCTGCCTTCAGCTCAGGTCATGATCCCAGGGTCCTGGGATCAAGCCCTGCACTGGGCTCCCTGCTCAGTGGGGAGCCTGCTTCTCCCCCCTCAACCCACTCACTCATGCTCTCTCTCACTCACTGTCTCTCAAATGAATAAATAAAATCTTTTAAAAAAAAGAGAGAGACCCATTTTAGACCTAACACACCTGAGATTGAAAGTGAGAAGATACAGAAACATGTGCCATTCAAATGTATGTCAAAGACAGCCAGAGTAGCAATACTTATATTGGACAAAATACTTAAAAGAAAGACTGTAAAATTTGATTTAGAAGGACACTGTGTAATAATAAAGGGGACGATCCAACAAGGAGATATAACAATTGTAAATACTTATATACCCCAAATGGGAGCACCCAAAGACATAAAACAGTTAATAACAAACATAAGGGAACTAATCAATAATAATCCAGTAATAGTAGGGGACTTTAACATCCTAATTACAGCAATGGACAGATCATCGAAAGAGATAATCAACAAGAAAACGATGCTTTGAATGACACAATGGAACAGATGGATTTAATAGGTATATTCAGAACATTTCATCCTAAAACAGCAGAATACACATTCTTTTCAAGTGCACAGGGAACCTCCTCCAGAATAGATCACACACTGGGTCACAAATCAGGCCTGAACAATTCACGATCTAAGTCATACCATGCAACTTTTCTGACCACAATGCTATGAAATGAGAAGTCAACCAGAAGAAAAAGTCTGGAAAGACCACAAACACATGGAAATTAAAAAACAAAAAAAAAACAAAAAACCAAAAACCATGCTATTGAACAATGAATGGATCAACCAGAAGTCAAAGAAGAAATAAGAAAGTACATGGAAACAAATGAAAATGAAACCACAATGGTCCAAACCTTTTGGATGCAGCAAAAGCGGTCCTTAGAAGCAAATATATAGCAATACAGGCCTAACTCAAGGAGCAAGAAAAAGCTCAAATAAACATCCCAACTTTGCACCTAGAGGAGCTAGAAAAAGAACAACAAACAAAACCTAAAACCAGCAGAGGGAAGGAAATAATTAAGATGAGAGTAGAGATAAATGATACAGATAAATGATACAGAAACTACAAAAACAATAGATCAATGAAACCAGGAGCTCTTCTTTGAAAAAAATCAATAAAATTTATAGCCCTCTAGCTACACTTATCAAGAAAAAAGAGAAAGGACTCAAATAAATAAAATCACAAATAGGGGAGAAATAAGAGAAATAAGAAAAAAAGAGAAAGGACTCAAATAAATAAAATCACAAATAGGGGAGAAATAACACAGAAATACAATCATAAAAGAATGTTATGAAAAACTACAGACCAACAAATTGAACAATCTAGAAGAAATGGATAAATTCTTAGAAATATATAAAATACCAAAACTGAAAAAGCAAGAAGTGGAAAACTTGGACAGACTAATAACAATTAGTTATTATTAGACAAAGAAATTGAATCAGTACTCAAAAAACCCCCAGCAGATCAAAATCACAATGAGATACCACCTCACACCAGTCAGAATGGCTAAAATTAACAAGTCGGGAAATAACAGATATTGGCGAGGATGTGGAGAAAGGGGAACCCTCCTACACTGTTGGTGGGAATGCAAACTGGTGCAGCCACTCTGGAAAACAGTATGGAGGTTCCTCAAAAAGTTGAAAATAGAGCTACCTTATGACCCGGCAATTGCACTACTAGGTATTTATGGAAAGGATACAAACATAGTGATTCAAAGGGGCACATGCACCCCAATGTTTATAGCAGCAATGTCCACAGCAGCCAAACTATGGAAACAGCTGAGATGTCCATCGACAGATGAGTGGATAAAGAAGGGGTGGTATGTATCTACAACGGAATCTTACTCAGCCATCAAAAAGAATGAAATCTTACCATTTGCAATGATGTGGATGGAACTAGAGGATATTATGCTAAGTGAAATAAGTCTGTCAGAGAAAGACAAAAACCATATGATTTCACTCATATGTGGAATTTAAGAAACAAAACAGATGAACATAGGGGAAGGGAGGGAAAAATAAAATAAGATGAAATCAGAGAGGGAGGCAAAACCATTAGTGACTCTTAATTATAGGAAACAAATTGAGGGTTGCTGGAGCGGAGGAAGGGGGGGTGATGGGCATTAAGAAAGGCACTTGATGGAATGAGCACTGGGTGTTATATGCAACTGATGAATAATTAAACTCTACCTCTGAAACTAATAATACACTATATGTTAATTAATTGATTTTAAATTAAAAAAAAAAAAAACACTCCCAATGAACAAAAGTTCAGGACCAGATGGCTTCACAGGTCAATTCTACCAAACATTTAAAGACTAATTAATACTACTTTTCTCCAACTATTTTAAAAAATAGAAAAGGTAATTCATTCTGTGAGGCCAGCATTACCCCAACACCAAAACCAGATAAAGATACCAAAAGAGAGACAGAGAGAGAGCTGTACATGCCAAAGCCCCTGATGAACACAGATGCAAAAAACCTCAACAAAATCCTAACAAAATGAATCCAACAATACATTAAAAAAATCATTCACCATGATCAAGTGGGACTTACTCCTGGGCTGCAAGGGTGGTTCAACATCTATAATCAATCAATGTGATACATCACATCAGTAAGAGAAAGAGTAAGAACCATATGATCCTTTCGGGGGTATAGCTCAGTGGTAGAGCATTTGACTGCATATGATCATTTCAATAGATACAGAAAGACAAAGTACAACAGTGATTCATGACAAAAACCCTCAACTAAGTAGGTTTAGAGGGAGCATACCTCAACATAATAATGGCCACCTATGAAAAACCCATAGCTGATATCATCCTTAATGGAGAAAAGGTGAGAACTTTTCCTCTATGGTCAGGAACAAGGCAGGGATGTCCACTCTCACCACTGTTATTTAACATAATACTAGATATCCTAGCCTCAGCAAGCAGACAACAAAAAAGAAATAAAAGGAATCCAAATTGGCAAGGAAGAAGTCAAACTTTCACCATTCGCAGATGACGTGATACTTTATATAGAAAACCCAAAGGAGTCCACCAAAAAGCTGCTAAAACTGATACACAAATTCAGCAAAGTTACAGGATACAAAATCAAAGTACAGAAATCTGTTGTATTTTAATACACCAACAATAAAAAGGCAGAGCGAGAAATTAAGGAAACAATCCCACTTACAATTGCACCCAAAACAATAAGATACCTAGGAATAAATCTAACCAAAGAGGTGAAAGACCTGTTCTCTGAAAACTCTAATACACTGATGAAAGAAATTGAAGATGACACAAAGAAATGGAAAGATATTTCATGCTCATGGATTGGAAGAACAAATATTGTTAAAATATCTATATTACCCAAATCAATCTACACATTTAATGCAATCCCTATCAAAATACCAACAGCTTTTTTTCACAGAACTAGTACAAACAGTTCTAAAATTTGTACAGAACCACAAAAGACTCTGAATAGCCAAAGCCATCTTGAAAAGGAAAAGCAAAGCCGGAGGCAGCGGAATTCTGGACTTTAAGGTATAATACAAATTGTAGTAATCAAAACAGTTTGGTACTGGCACAAAAATCAATGGAACAGAATAGAAAACCCAGAAATGAACCCATAACTACACAGTCCATTAATCTTCGACAAAGCAGGAAAGAATATCCAATGGGAAAAAGACGGTCTTCTCAACAAATGGTGTTGGGGAAACTGGACAGCAACATGCAAAAGAATGAAACTGGACCACTTTCTTACATCATACACAAAAATAAATTCAAAATGGATGAGAGACCTAAATGTGTGTCAGGAAACGACAGAAATGCTTGAAGAAAACATGGGCAGTAACTTCTTTGACATAGACCTTAGCAACTTCTTCTAGATAGGTCTCCTGAGTCGAAGTAAATAAAAGCAAAAGCAAACTTTTGGGACTTCATCAAATTAAAAGCATCTGCACAGCATAGGAGACAATCAACAAAACTAAAAGGCAACCTACTGAATGAGAAAAGATATTTGCAAGTGACATATCTGATAAAGGGTTAGTATCCAAAATCTAGAAAGAACATATAAAACTCAACACCCAAAAAACAAATAATCCAATTAAAAAATGGGCAGAAAGCAAAAAAAGCCCACATTTTTCCAAAGAAGACACACAGATGGCCAACAGACACGTGAGAAGATGCTCATCATCACTTATCATCAGGGAAATGGAAAACAAATCTACAATAAGATTCATCTCCCACCTGCCAGAATGGCTAAAATCAACAATACAAGAAAAAACAGGTGAGGATGTGGAGAAAAAGAAACCCTCTTGCATTGTGGGTGGGAATGCAAACTGGTGCAGCCACTCCTGAAAACAGTATGGAGGTTCCTCAAAACGTTAAAAATAGAACTACCTTATGATCCAGCAATTGCACTACTGGGTATTTACCCAAAGGATACAAGAACACTAATTGAAGGGGATACATACACCCCAATATTTATACCAGTATTATTTACAATAGCCAAAATATGGAAGTAGCCCAAGTGTACATCGATTGATGAATGGATAAACAAGATGTGGTATATATATACACACACATATATATATACACACACAGATACATATAAATATAAAATGGAATATTACTAAGCCATAAAAAATGAAATCTTGCCTTTTGCAACATCATGGATGGAACTACAGACTAGAGAGTATAATGCTAAGGGAAATGAGTCAGTCAGAGAAAGACAAATACCATCTGATTTCACTCTTGTGGAATTTAAGAAACAAACAAACAAACAAACAAAAAAAACAAAGGGGAAAGATAGAGAGAGAAAGACAAATCAAGAAACAGACTTAATTATAGATGGTCACCAGAGGGGAGGTGGGTGGGGGATGGGTTAAATAGGTGATGGGGATTAAGGAGTGCACTTGTCTTGGTGAGCACAGGGTGATGAACGAAGGTGTGGAATGGCCATTTTGTACATGTAAAACTAATATTACACTGTATGTTAACTAACTGGAATTAAAATAAAAACTTAAAAAAAATAATCCCTGTACACTAATTTAATCTATGGTGTTAATTACTTTTTATAGTTAGGCCTTCCGCAGGACTAGGTGGACTACAGGACAAGCTTCTCTAACCTCATAATTTCATCTGGAGTTTTACTGGGGCATACAAGGTGGTTCTTGAGGTCTTCCCCACCCCACCCGCCCCCATGGTAGCTTTTTCCTCCATGCCCCCTTCCTTTGGCTTTACTCTCCCCTCCTGCGTACGGACACACACAGCCCACAGGTTCACGGTCTTGAGTCCCCTGGGGAGAAAAGCAAACCTGACAAATTAGTCACATTTTGGTGCAAAGTAAAGTTGCCTTCCTTCCCAGTGGCATTCGCATTAAAAAGAGAAAGAAATCCTAGGAAGGTGAACCAGTGGGAGTAAACGTTTAATGGTGGAATCGTAACCAAATCGTATAATTTGCAGGAAAAGGGCGGGCCGGGTTTGCCGGGGGTCTGAAGTCAGACCTCCTTGGCAGCTGCACCGTGAATCGTGGGGAGCGGCGCGGCGGGAGGTGCAGAGGACGGATTCGGGCTTAGGTGGTTGCCACGCACCGCTCGCCCCGGGGAGCCTACAGCTCCTGAACACTCCCCGCAGCGCACGCACGGGTCACCCCGCTGGTCCGCAGCCAGCACCGTGGGCGCGGCGCCCAGAACTTACCCCGCTCCGCTGTGAGTCTCTCTGGAGAAAAAAAAAAAAAAAAAAACACGAAGAAAAGAGGAAAGATCTCAGGTGACGAGCACTGAGGCTTCACTTCCCTAAAGCGCACAGACTCGGCCCGCTGCGTCCTGGGCACCGGGAGCGGCTGCGTGCGCTGCAGGAGTGGGCTCCGCGGCAGGCAAGCGGCTGAGCAAACCTGCGGCCGCCCTGCGCCTCCGTCCTGCTCCCAAGCGCCCGGGGTCCGAAGTACTCGCCTCGCCCCCCCCCCAGCAAACTCCCCCGCCCCCCACCACTCTGTGCTACTGAGGGAGGCGGGCAGAGAGTGCGCCTCTTGCCTCCTTCCCCGCTTACCCTTGTCCTTCTCAGCCCGCTTCCTCAGCTTTTCTGAAAGATGCAAGGAAGGGGCGCACAGGTGAGGGTGCGCGCTCGCCGTTCCCGCGCGCGCCCCATCGCCTCCGCCACCGCCTCTGCGCGGCCCCTCCGCCTCCAGCGCCTTCCTCCCCGCACAGCCCGCGCCAGGCGGGAGCCCCCCGCCCCCGCCAGCCTGCCCCCTACCTTGGCACCTCCGTTGCTTCTGCAGGAAGTACAGCGCCAGCGTCACGAGGACTGCCAGGAGCAGAGGCAGTCCCCCCAGAGTCCCGAGGAAAGCCCTCTTCCAAGGGGAGCTTCCGGGTAGAAAGGCGTCTGGAAAACACCTCACAGGGAGTTGTTGTCTCGCTTTAGGCGCCACTAAACACCTAAGGGACAAGCCTATCCCGGGCCCAGCGGCCCGGAAATCCTTCCAGGTTGGCAGGCGTTAAACCTCGGGGCAGCACCAGAGCAATCTGTAAAATGGGCACGAGAGCGGCCGCGCGCGCGCCCTCCGCAGGGAGGACCCTGGGGAGTAGGGAGCGGGGGCTCCGAACTTGCCTAGCAGCAACCGGGAAATGCACACTGAAGGACCTGGAAGGGAGGGGCTGATGGACCCCCCCACACCCCCAGCTTTTGACCTCACGTGCCCGTGGCCCTGCCCGCCCCACCCCGCCCTAAACTTTTCCCCACAATTGTCCTGTTTCTGAAGAACACAAGAATCGAAGGCATTGGTATCCGAAAACCAGTGAATTTTTGCTCTCTTCCCCCACGCTCAAACCCACAAGTCATTTTCCGCTTCTTGCAAACACTTCCGTTTACTTCTCATCACACCTTTGGAAGAATTGGCTCCCTGGGGAGGCTTTGCCCGAGGGCAGCGTGTGGCCCAGGCGCCCTCCGACAGGGGCCAGTCGGCAAAGAGATACGCGCAGGACGAAAGTAACTCTTTAGAAACTCCTGTGGCAATTTGACGTAATAATTTGGTGTCTGCTGAAGATTATTATTTTTTAAAAGTGGTGGTTTTATCTCAGTGGTCTTTTTAAAAATATATTTTTCTCTTTTTTATTGTAGTAAAATATATAACATAAAATTTACCATCTTAACCATTTTTAAAGGTACAATTCAGTGGCATTAAGTTACGTTCACATTGTTGTGGATCATCATCACCACCCATATCCAGAACTCTTTTGGTCTTCCCAGACTGAAATTCTACCCACTGAACACTAACTTCCCATTTCCTGCTCCCCACCCACCTCAGCCTCCAGCAACTGGAAACTTCTATTCCACTTTGTACCTTTATGAATTTGACTACTCTAGGTACCTCCCTATAAGTGAATTTCAAACAATATTTGTCTTTTGGTGTCTGGCTAATTTCACTTAGCATTATGTGGTTCATTTTCCCTTTTTCAGTTTAATTTTTCTAGTAGTGCATTTTTATTGTCTTGTACCAAAATATTGGGCCACAAGGGATTGGTCCTTCACTACAGATGGTTTGCCAAGCTCTGACCTACAGGTTAAGAGCAAGAGCTCCGGGTTCAGTGCCTCCCTGACATGCCACCCTCGACCTTGTCCCTTTGTTCAAGCTTCTCCTGCCTCCTTCCTACTCCCCTAGTGGTCATATGCGGCCCCATTCCCAGTGCACGAACTTTGCACTTGCTGTCCCCTCTACCTGAATGTTCTCCTCACAGATATCCACGTGAACCACATCCTTTGAAAAGGATAAATGCAAATCAAAGAAGAAATAATTGGATTTGGAAAGAGACTCCCTCTTTTTCCCTTTTCTTAGAACATTTCCTCCATAAAACTAAAAAAAAAAAAAAAATCCTTTCTCTATCCCTTTGAGATATATGTAAATGTTTTCGAAAGCTAAACAAGCTCTTGCTAGCTTTACAACCCAGGAATGTTTTTCTTAAGGAGTTCAGAGACATTTCTTTGAAATGTAAACATCAAGGAGAGAGTGTCCCTATGTCCTATCTCATGGGGGTTTCAGGTGCCTGGCTCCAAGTTGTGACTATGTGCTTGTCATAGAGATTTAAGACGTTTTATTTTTCCTTGGATAACACAATTAGCTAACCCAAATGACCACCCCAATGACACAGTAAATTTTCAGTGAAGTATGTGTGGCACGTGGTGTTGTTGAGTCCTCTTACCCAATGACAAGTTATCATTTAGAAGGGTCAGATTTCTTTCTGTTATTATACAGTTGACCCTTGAACAACACAGATTTAAACTGTGTGGGTCCATATAGACGTATTTGTTTTTATATAATTCCAGTTAGTTAACATATAGTGTAATATCAGTCTCAGGTGTACAATATAGTGATTCAATTCTTCCATGCATCACCCAGATGCTACTCAATCCCCATCACCTCTTTAACCCATCTCCCGGATCGACCTCCCCTCTGGTAACCATCAGTTTGTTCTCTATAGTTAAAGAGATTGTTTCTTGGTTTCTCTCTCTCCCTCTCTCTTATTTTTTCCCTTTGCTCGTTTGTGTTGTTTCTTAAATTCCACATATGAGTGAAATCATATGGTATTTGTCTTTCTCGGACTTAGCATAATACTTTTGCTTACATTTGCCTAGCATAGTATCTCTAGCTCCACCCATGGTGTTGTAAATGGCAAGATTTCATTTTTTTATGGCTGATAATATTCCATTGTGTGTGTGTGTGTGTGTGTATATACCACTTCTTTATCCACTCATCAGTCAATGGATATTTGGGCTGCTTCCATACTCTGGCTATTGCAAATAACGCTGCTATAAACATCAGGGTGCTGGTACCCCTTCAAATTAGTGTTCTTATATTCTTTGGGTGAATACCTAGTAGAACACTTATAGATAATAAGGTATTTCTATTTTTAACTTTTTCAGGAACCTCCCTACTGTTTTCCAGAGTGGCTGCATCAGTTTGCATTCCCACCAACAGTGTAAGAGGGTTCCCCTTTCTCCACATCCTCGACAACAACAGTTGTTACAATTTTGTTTTGTTGATTTTAAGCCATTCTGACAGGTGGGAGGTGATATCTCATTGTAGTTTTGATTTGCATTTCTCTGATGATGAGTGATGTTGCGTATCTTTTCTATTTTGTTTGTAGTTTCCATATCATTTATTTTTGCTCTAGTCTTTAGTATTTCCTTCCTTCTGCTGGTTTTCGGCTTTGTTTGTTCTTTCTTTAGCTCCTTTAGGTGCAAGGTGAAATCTTTACCTTTGAGCTTTCTCTTTCTTCTTGGAGTAGGCCTGTCTTGCTATGTACTTCCCTCTTAGATCCACTTTCGCTGCATCCCAGAGGTTTTAGACTGTTGTGTTTTCATTTTCATTTGTTTCCATGTACTTTTTAAGTTCTTCTTTGATTTCCTGGTTGACCTATTCATTGTCTAGTAGCATGTTATTTGATCTCCATGTGTTTGTGTTCTTTCCAGATTTTGTCTTGTTGACGTCAAGTTTCATGGCATTGTGGTCAGAAAAGATACGTGGTGCGATTTCAATCTTCTTGAATTTGTTGAGGTTTTTTGTGTGCTAATATGTGATCTATTCTGGAGAATGTTGTGTGTACTTAAAAAGAATATGGATTCTTCTCTTTTAGGATGGAATGTTCTGAATACATCTGTTAAGTTCATCTGGTCCAGTGTGTCATTCAAAACCCTTATTTCTTGTTTGATTTTCTGTTGATTTTCTGTTTAGGTGATCTGTCCATTGATATAAGTGGGGTGTTAATGCCCCCTACTATTATTGTATCAAATGAGTTCTTTTATGTTTATTACTAACCATTCATCTATTTGTGTGCTCCTATGTTGGATACATAAATACATACAATGGTTATATCTTCTTGTTGGATAGACCCCTTTATTATTAAATAGTGTCCTTTGTCTCTTTTTACGGTCTTTGTTTTAAGGCCTACTTTTTCCAATGTAAATATCATTGCTCCAATTTTCTTTTGACATCCATTTGCATGATAGATGTTTCTCCATCCCCTCACTTTCAATGTGCAGGTGTCTTTAGGTCTAAAACGGATCTCTTGTAGGCAGCATAGAGATGGGTCTTGTTTTTTATCCATTCTGTCATCCTGTCTTTTGATTGGAACGTTTGATCCATTTACATTCAAAGTAATGTTTTCATTTCATTTTTTGTGCCCTCTGCTATGTTTTTCCTTATCTCTGTGTTAAGTGTCTCAGTCATGTCCTCCAGTCTTTTCTCAAGTCCAGTTAGTATCCTTATGGTCATTGCTTTAAATTCTCTAACATACACGATACTTATATCTGTTTCACTTAGATCTCTACCCTGGCCTTATCTCATTCTCTCGTTTATGATCAATTTCTCTGTCTCCTCATTTTATCTGCCTCTCTGTGTCTATTTCTGTGTGTTAAGAACATTTTCTGCTTTTGAAAGTAGTGACTTTACGAAGAGTAGGTCCTGGAGTGCCTGTTTACCAGGAACAGGCACTTCAGCAAATCATCCTATGTTTTTTACTTACGTCTTGCTGTTGTGTCTGAGTCACTTTTCTTTTCAGTGCAGTTGTCTACCCTCACTCTCTTCCTGTGGTGGCTGTATTCGCTCTCTGGGATGTTAGTGGGACACGGGCCTGCTCGCTCTGAGGGGGTGTGCCCACTGGGGAACTTGGGAGTGTGGGGGTGGGATTAGCAATATTTAATTGGGCCACTAGTCCCATGCCAGATCTCCTAAAGCTCTGTGGTGGCCGGGGGCTCTTGCCAGGCCGGTGGGGGCACAAGGCTGGTCTCAGTGCTCGATGCTGACATGCGGCCAGGCCGGGCATGTGAGGGTGGCTGGTGGTGCGTGGCTGGGCATCGCACTGTGGCTGGGCGGGGTGTGCTGGTACAGCCTCGCACCTGTTGTCTGGGCAGCGTGCATGTGCAGCTTTAACAAAATTTGCCCTGAACTCTGGGTGGAGACTCTGAGTGTCTGCAGCCCCACCTCCCGTAGGTGGCTCCATGTTTATGCTGGGGTCGGGGGAGGAAAATGGCAGCTGCCCGCTCCCTTATTTTTAGAGAAGTCCCCCAACACTCTCTGAAATCAGGATGCACAGATCTGACTCCCGTTTACCCCCGCTCTGTATAAATTGCCTTTTTTATATTGCCTCTCTGTGCAGGCTGCTGTCTCTCTAAAGGCAGTGACCCAGCGGTCACTCACCCTCCCAGCTCACCCAGTGCTGACTCAGCTGACTTTTAAAGCTCCAGGCTCCAAATCCCACTTTTTTTTACAAACTCACAGAATGCACCCTGTGTAGTTTTCAATGACAAACGTTATGGGAAATAGTCTTCCCTGGGTGAACTCCCTGGTGTGAGGGCCCATTTTTCTGCCTTCTCTGTGCACACAGCCTCCCTCTGCCTTTTTGACCTTCCTAACCTTTCAGCTGCAGCTTCTTCTCTATATTGAGTTGTAGAGTTTGTTCTGCCAATCTTCGGATTGCTCTCTGGTTTATTGACTTGGATGTGGATGATATCTAGTTGTGAATGTGAGACAGGATGAGCTCAGGGTCCTCCTACTCCACCATTTTCCCAAGATCCTCTCCTCCTTATGGTTTTTTTTGTTTTTAATAACATTTTCTTTTCTCTAGTTTACCTGATTGTAGGAATACAGCATATAATACATACATAAAATCTGTGTTAAGTTTCTATTTCTGTTAGTACTCAACAGTATATTATTAGTAGTTAAGTTTTTGGGAGTCAAAAGTTATACGTGGATTTTCAAATGCTCAGGGCAGAGGGGGGTCAGCACCCTTAACCCCCTGAATTGTTCAAGGGCCAACTGTAATATAACTATTGATTTGTACCAATGTGAAGAATGACCCATAGGTTAGGTTTATCCTCAAGACTTAAAATAGTCACGAACATCAGATCCTTCAGTTTGTGCCTCATGATAAGACTTTGGTCCTAGATGATGGCCTCATCCTTCAACTCATTGCCTAACTATCTTCCTTCCTAACCTACCACTTTTAAATCCACATGCACCCCCCACCACACGTTAGCACCCTTCCCTGCTTTGTTTTTCTGTACAGCACCTTACATCTTCTAATCATACAATATAATTGACTCTTTTGTTTGTGTTTCCCCCACAGGAATGTCAACCCGAGGGCAAGGGTTTGGGGCACATTACTTATAAATATCGTTTGAGGGATGAAACTAGGAACACATGGGCTCTCATGATGACCTCTAATGAGTAGTTTCTGGGTTTTAGGGCAGAGCCTTTGGTGTATAACACTGATTCCCTGGGGTCTCCCCAGCATACTGTTTGGGTGAGTGGTAAGCTGTTGTACTCTCAGTAGGTTCCTGATATCCAAGGTGCTGACTTTTCAGGTGTCTAGGTCAGTCCGCCCCAGAGACAACCAGGCCCCAGTACCACTATGCCCTTTTAGATGGCCTTTGGAACAATGCACATGAAGGACATGGTGGGCAAGAAGATGAGGGTTAGTCAGCATCTACTAACCTGCTATCTGGATGGTGAACTCTTTCTTCTGGAGCAGGAGGGAGTTCTGGATGGAGCAAGACACATTGCTGTGGGAACCCCCTTGGACAACCACGGATGTTTCCAGATTGAACAGGCCCCGGGCATCCTGGACAATGGCTTCCATCTCTGGAGGCAGGCACTGTCCTTTATGATCTTTCCACTGAGCCTGGGGCTTGGGGTACCAGCCACTGGAGCTGCACCTCAGCTGAACGCCTCCCTTCTTGAAGCTCTCAAGGGAGATGTGAGGGTCTGAGCCCAGCCCTGGGAGAGGCAGGAAGAGTGGGAAAGATCAGGCTCCCTCGCAGAAGTTGTGCATGAAGTTCATGCCACCATGCAATGTCTGCAGTCATTATAAGGTATCACAAACCGTGACTGCTCTTAACCCACATGTGGGCTCACAACCCCCAACTGTGGGCTATAAATGACAGTCTAAATTGGTGGTGGCAGGTGGGACATGGGGACAGTAGAACCCATGAGGGACATTTGGAAATATTGTGGGGGGCCATTTGGCCAGAAGGGCTACTGGCATTTAGTCATATTATGCAAGAGATAGTCCCCCGAAGTAAAGAAAAACCCCACCCCACATTTCCATAGATTGTCCTCTGTCTCTCTTGAATCCCACCAGAGGTCAGAGTGTGTCACACGCACTCCTTCATGTCTCCATCCTGTGGAGCTAACGTCCTATTTTGAATATGCAAAACACTGATATGTTTAAAGAGCAATACTGTAAAAAATGTACATCAGGAAAGTCCCAGACCTTTCTCCATCCTTTCCATCCACTGCTCCCTCCTCTCCCTTAGGCAACCAATTTCATTAGCTCATTAGTTCCTAGTGCATCCTTCCTGTGCTTCTTTCATGCAACGTTTCTTTTTTCTTACACCAAAGTTTACATACTGTAGAACCTCTTTGCACCTTGCTTTTTTCTCTTACCAACATCCTAGAAATCACTCCACATCAGTTCCTAGAGCACCTCCGCATTTTTTCAGGTGCATAGTGTGGATCACTCCTTTGTGTGATGGGCCATATTCAACACCTTTGCTTAGATATTTAGATATTCCACTGTTGTACAATTACAAATGATGCTACAAACATTAAACTTATATAGATGCCCTTTTCATATTGGAGCTGTGGGAGGCTTATATTCAGGGTAAACTAGAGGTGGAGTTGCAGTTCAAAAGGTAGACATATAGGCAGTCCTGTTAGCTATTGCCAAATTCCCATGCACTGGAGCTTTGCTTTGCTTTCCATCACCAGGGTACAAAGCAGAAGGCCTGCTTCCCCACAGCTCCACCATGGGTGTATGATCAAACTGCTGAGTTTTGGGCGCCTGGGTGGCTCAGTTGGTTAAGCGACTGCTTTCGGCTCAGGTCATGATCCTAGAGTCCCTGGATCGAGTCCCGCATCGGGCTCCCTGCTCGGCAGCGAGCTTGCTTCTTCCTCTGACCCTCCCCCCTCTCATGTGCTCTCTCTCTCTCATTCTCTCTGTCTCAAATAAATAAATAAAATCTTTAAAAAAAAAACCTGCTGAGTTTTTGCCAATCTCAGAGGTAAAAAAAGTTGCATCTCAGTGTAACTTTAATTTGCCTTTCTTTCGTGATGGGTAAGGGTGATCATCTTTTTCCTTTTTTTTTTTTTTAAAGATTTTATTTATTTATTTGAGAGAGAGAGAATGAGAGACAGAGAGCACGAGAAGGAAGAGGGCAGAGGGAGAAGCAGACTCCCCGCCGAGCAGGGAGCCTGACGTGGGACTTGATCCCGGGACTCCAGGATCATGACCTGAGCTGAAGGCAGTCGCTTAACCAACTGAGCCACCAGGCACCCAGGGTGATCATCTTTTTGTATGTTTAAGGGCCATTTGTATATCTTTTTTGTGAACTTTTATTTTGTTCATTTTGTAACGAATCTTCCTTTTTGATGGTTTTTTAAAATTAGGTATGTTTCCCCCTTTCTGCATTTCCCTGTCTGCTCGTGAGCAAAGCGGCTCTGTCCAGACGGACCCCTCACTCTGTCTCTTGGGCCGGGCACGTACCTGCTACCTCCAGCTCCCAGACCGCTTCCCTGGAGAAGTTGCTGGAGAGGAAACGGCACCCATATAGGCCCTCGTCGTCAGGAATGATGCCGCGGAGCTGCAAGTTCACGCTGCCATCCACGATATAATCCTTGATGAGTTTGGTCCTGTTCCGGAACTGCGCCATTTGCCGGCTCTGGAGCTCTCGCCCCCCCTCATACAGGTGCACCACATCGGAGGTCTGACTCCGGAACCAGCGGATCTCCATGTCCTCGGCATCCAGGTACGGCAACAGGTGGCACGAGAACTCCACCTCTTCTCCCACGAGTGCCAGGATGGGCTCCCCAGGGCCCACCACCCTGACCTCCTCTAGGACGAGAAGCCAGAATGACAGCCGAAATCAGCTCTCATCCAGGGTGAGCTTTTATCCCATTCCTTTGCAGCTCAGGAAGCTACATACAGTAAACCATCCAAATGACAAAAAGACACTGGGCAAGACAGTTGGCTTGGCTTCTTGAACAAGTCATTGTCATGAAGACGCCAGGTTAAAACATACACAAAGGATATTACAACCAGATACAGTCAGTGTGTGGTGCTGGACTAGGAATTGGTTTGAACCAACCAGCTGCAAATGTTGTTTTGGGGACAGTTACGTAAATATGGCCAAGACATTAAACGAAAGGGAATCCTTGACCAAAAAAAAAGCAAGTTTCAAAACAACACGTACACTATTCTCTTATTTGATTACAAAATGACATGTTTGCATAAAAACATGTGCAGAAAAGAAAGGTCCAAAATGAGATATACCAAATGGTTGATGGTGGTAATTTCTGCATGATGGGAATAGATATATTCTTGTTTCTTCCTTGCCTGATTTTCTAATTTTTTATAATGCACATGTACAGTTTATGTTAATAACAAAGGGTATTAATGTAATCTATGGGTCTCCTTGCTTCATGGGTTTTTCTATCTAAAGGCCAAATCTTGTCTTCAAGATTTTTATTTATTAGAATTTTTTTTTATTTGATCATCCTCTTAAATGGTGCCTCCACGTGGCTCCTCTACTCCCTGTTTTCTGCAAGTCCCGTGGGAGTTGCTATTCCTGTTGCAGTCCCTTTGCATGTGCTGTGTCCTGCCACTCAGGATGTTGCCCTCACTCTTCTGACTTCACCTTTTCTTTCTTTCTTTCTTTTTTTAAATTTTTTTTATTTATTTGAGAGAGCCCGCGCGTAAGAGCAGCAGCTGGGAGGGGCAGAGGGAGAGGGAGAAGCAGACCCCCCACCCCGCCACACCCCTGCTGAGCAGAGAGCCCAACGTGGGACTTGATCCCAGGACTCTGGGATCACCACCCGAGCCGAAGGCAGACGTTCAACCAACTGAGCCACCAGGTGCCCCCTGGCTTTGCCTTTTCTTGTACCTCCTTTTCTTCCTTTCAAGCTCAGCTAAAACCCATTCCCAAAGCTCCCCCTTCATGGATCCCTCCCATCCTTCACTTAGTTCATAGAACATGGCAGTGGTTTTTTTTGTTCACTCTATTTGAGACATCTTGTTGCCCACTGGGTATAACCCCAACACCCTCCCTTCCAGCTTCCCTTTCCAGGATATCTCAAGTTGTCTCTTCCCCCCACTTCATGCCTGGCCCTCTTCCTGGGAGCATGGCCTGCCTCAGTTTACCCTCCACCTGTCATCTTCCTGGAAATTATGTCTCCTTCAGGGGTCTACTCAAACAGTACCTCCTCTCTAGGGTTCTTCTTGGCTTTCTGGAAGACAAATTTCTCTCTTAGCTGTGCTCACAGATCTTTGGATATATTTCTCTTACAGCCATACAGCTGAACAGCTTTTATGTCACGTCTGTCCCCCTCCCTTGACCTTCTTGAGGACCTGGGATGAGCCTGGTCATTTTGGTATCCCTGGTTTCCAGCTCAGGGAATCAGAGAATTGCATTTGCATAATTAGTTTATACTTGCTTTTGGCTGCTTCTTTCATGAGAGATGTTGAGCCTGAGGTCCTTCCTGCCCTTCAGAAGCTACAGCTTCTATGTGGGAGGGCAGCACCTGACATGGCCTGGCAGGCTGTAGATCTCAGGCCTGGGAGCACCAGGTAGGAGGGTGGGCAGAAGCTGAGGTGCTCATGACCTGGCTGGGCTGCAGGTTTGACAACTACCTGAATTCAGCTCTCCGGGCTGGAGGAGAAGAAGGAGATGGGTGAGGAAGAAGACACTGCTGGGCAGAGGAACTCGCTGGGAGAAGTCCGGGAAGCCTGGGAAATCCACCATTTCTCCTCAGCTGTGGGGGCCACCTGGAGAGGAACAAAGAGATGCTGGAATGGATGCAGGAGAGCTAGAACGCAGCCCAGCAGGCCTGATGTCTCTTGCTGCTTCATTTTTTTTTTTTTATAATAGTTCTTACCACTCCCAGTGCCTGGGTTCTTTTAAACCATAGCTGGATGTGAGTGCTGCTTCTGATTTTACCAGGTGTCACCGCTGACCTTGCTCAGACTCATGGAGCTGCAAGGGGACAAGGCCAAAGAGTCCCAGAGGAAGCAGCTTCTTGGCTTCGCATTGTTTAGAGCCAGGAATAGAGCCACCCATTGTGTGGGGATTCAGCCAAGATTAAATGACTTTCCCCGAACAAACGGAAATCTATAAGGACTCAGAGATATTGTCGTTCTCCCTGCCCCACTTCCCTTTGGCCTGGAACATGAGGTCCACAAACAGAGGAACAAACACAGAGTTCTGATCTTTCAGAAGTGGGATGCATGACTGGCAGCAGCCGGCCAGCTCCCACCGCAGCTGAGACACGTTGTTCCAGGCCTGAAACCTCAGGCGGGGCCTTCAAGAGGTCAACTGGTGACTGTCCCTATCGCTGCAAGACTGTGTCTCCCAGGCCACATTAACAGAGTTGTCCCATCTAGCCACATCCCCCATTAGTGGTCCACCCTACTCAGCCCTGGCCCAGGCAAGGGCTGTCCCCTTTCAGTCCTGAGACCCCCTTGGGACCTGTGGTGACATCTCACAGTCTGATAGCCAGTGAACATGGGCAACCCATACATCTTGGGGTACATTCAAGCCTCTCCACATTTCTCCTCTGTTTAGTGGTGGGACTTTAGGCAGATTCTATAACTGACTGACCCTCGATTTCTTTGCCTGAACGATGGAAGAAACCAGTGCCAACTCGGGGGATCATTAAGTCTTCCATGGGAGGGCTAAGTGCTCTTTAGTATATAAAAGCCCGAGCCACCTGCCCCCGCCTCCACCTGCCAAACGTCTTGCTCTCCATCTTTTAGAGCCTGCACGCTCTCCTTTCACCCCATCATAGGAAGGCAGATTTCTTCAGCCCCCAGGCTCCCCTTCTCCCCTCTTCTGCCACCCCACCCCTTTGCTTCATTCTCCTTCTCCTGAAAACATGTTCTTGATGTCCTGTGGCTGCCAGGCTCTACCCACACACCAAACGCATCATGCGGGTGTAGACGAAAGACTTTAGAAGTTGCTGGGCCATGTAGCAGAGGAATGGTCAGAGGAGGCATGCAGGTGAGTTAACAGTGTGTGGGGGGGGAAATCCCTGAGCTAGAAGAACCCGGCCAATGGGAATACAAGGACCCGGCCAGTGGGAAGGAGTGGGCAATGGCCCGTGAAGCCAGTGGGCCAGGGCTGGGGCCCTCCCCTCCTGGAGCTCACATGCAGGTAGGCAGGCAGAGGAGCAAGTTGGAATAGCTCCATTAATGCTCCAAAAGGGACCCCTCAGCAGGAGAAGGTCAGAGGACCCCCTGGAGGGAGCTCGGCCACTTTCATGGCCAAAGCTACTGGAATTACTAGTCACACAATAGTCAGCTTAAACACAGGCTCTGGGCCAAGGTCGAGGCTCTGGCCAGACAGTCCAGCCTCTTGCCCTATTGGCTGATGACAGGAAACTGGCAGCAAAGGAGCTCCAGAGCAGGGAGTCCACCCTGGACGCCCTCTCCCTGTTTGCTTTTGCTTTTTCTCTCCCTCTCCCTGTTTCCTTCTCTTCTCTTTTGTGTCTCAGTATTTTCTTCTGGACTCTGAGGATAGAGCCCCATGAAGGCAAAAGCCATGACTGTGCATCAGCACCAGCTGGGACCTTCCAAAACCAGAGGGGCTCGGGGGGTACTTCTGGGTCCATTTAGATCAGTCAGATTTTGAGGAATTAGTCAAGACCTGTGTGGGTGGTGACTCGGGTTCTCCTACCGCACAGTGACAGAGCATTAGACGGGCTCACAGCTGGGGGCCCCACTTTCCCTGAGCTGGGAGGCTGCCGCCTCCTGGAGGGCAGTCCGTGTGTTCCAGACCCTGGAATTACTAGTGGGACCGCAGTTTTGTAGTGCGAAACACCCATGTGAATCCCGTCACTGAGGCTGCAGGGGAAGGAGGTCGTAAACATCCAAACACACACAGGCATGCATGTGCTTATGCTCACAGTAATAAAAACTGATACGACTTGAGCACTTACTATCTATCAAGCACTTACATATACCAGAAGTATTTATTATTATCATTATCACTGATAGGTCTGAATCACAGACCACAGGAAACTGAGGCACAGGGAGGCTAGGCAACTTGCCCACATGAACAGTTAGGAGGTGGTGGAGTGGGGTCTCTCCTAAGCTCTGCACCAGTGTGGATAGAGATTCCTCACCAGCTTTGTCCTGTGTCAGGGCTGGAGCACCCTCTGTTTTCCTCTCTCCCAGAGCGTGACTCCAGTTAGGGACCACCTGACCCCAGACCGCAGCACTCACCCTGACAGCATCTCCCATGCTCTGAAGAAGCAGACTGAGTCCCCAGGTCTCAGCCACAAGACCAAGCAAGCAAGCACGAGCAACCAACCCACAAATGAATAAAAATCCCAAACTCCAGCTGCTGATAAAACAACTCAAAACTGGAGTCTTCCTCAGACCTTACCAACAGCATCTTCTTGGACCGGAGGTACATGCCCTGTGGTCCCTTTGCTCCCAATGCACAGGCATTGAAAAGCCTTTAACTTGGAGGGAGACTGACGATTTCCTGAAGGGACTTCAGAGGGGCTGAACGCCCCTTTATGCCCTAAAAGGCCCCCCTCCTGCCCATCTACTGCCTGAAGTCCGCCCTTTCTGACCTCACTCTCCAGCTTAAAGGCTCCGATCCTCACTGGAGTGCAAGTACCTGTGAGGGGAAACATTTTCAGATCTCAGCTATTCACACCACAGCGTAAATGGATTGCAGACTATTTCTCGTGAGGAGGTTTTACTGGGAACAGGGTCTGGACACATTGGAGACTAGGAGAAGGTGGAGGACCCAGGGAGGAGATGGACAGCCAGAAAGAGGGTTTCAGGCTGGAGCTAGTCTTTGCAGGTGGGGCACATTCCCTATACTCTCCTGGGAGCCTCTGGGATGTCCCCTGAAGACACACAGAAGAGTAAGGGTCGCACACACGGATGATGAAGAAAAGCCTCCACCCTCCACCCAGGGCAAGCCTGTTTCTTTGCATTCTCTCCCTGGCCTCACTCCAACCCCATCCCAATCTTCTCTTTCTGCATCTCCGATTCCTGAACAACACCTGATGTTCTCTTAATTTGCAGCCCCTCAGCTCTTGAGTGTCTCTATAAAGATTATTTTTTGCTTTTGCCACTTCTGTGAGCTTGGGCTGTGTAACAGCAGTGTGTTGTCCTTTTCCCATTCCTGCATCCTAAGCTGTACACCTTGAGAGGTAGAGCACTCTCCTACCCTCTCCCCCTCCAGTATCTGCTGCAGTGTTTTGCCCTCCACAAGCTATCAAGTAATGCTCACTGGTTTACTCTGGTTTGATTTCAATTGGCCCACAAGATGATTTCCACCCCAGTCTCCAAGGTGGATGAACCGCCCCGAGAAGAGACCTCAGGGAGGTTGGAGAGGGAATGGGGTAGGTCAGAATCCTACCTCCTCAGGTGAAACTACCTGAATGAATATCTCCCCTTAGCCATACTTGAAACAACCCATTCTGCAGCCAGGTTCGGCCTATAAGGTGATGCCAACCCATCTTGTCCTCTCTCCAAAGCCATCATTTTCTGCTTCCCATTTCTGAAAATTGGAGGTTTATACAAGTGTTGAGAATGAGCCACGTACCTGGCAGGTAGCAGCAGGGGGTCTGAAGTGGCAGATGATTCCTGGTGAGCTCAACTCCCTGCAAAAGGCATGACTGTAGTAAAATGTCTTGGTCCCAGATACTAAGGTCCCCTGGACATGAGCTGGCAGCTGAGTTCAGGGGGCCAGTTCATCTGTGACAGAATTATCTACTCACCTTCTACCTTAAGACACATTGCGTGCTCTGCCCTTTGCTATAAAAACCAAGATAGACGGAACAAAACGAGGAAGTCTCTGTCACATCCTGTCTCTGTTAGAAAAATCATGAATTGAATTTCCATGGACAATATCCCCCTAAGGTATTAGAAGGAGGGGAAAGGTAGCTGGAAGCTTTGCAGAGACTGAATTGCAGAGACTCGGAGCAGGGAGAAAATGCTCCAGTTGGCTGCCTGGGATCTTTGGGGCCTCCGGGAGACAGGATGGCCATCCCCAGCTGGCCCCTCTCTCCTCAGTGTCACGGTGAAGGATGCAGAGACTAGGCTGGACTATGTACAAAGGGCTGGTGCTCAACTGTTACCAGCTATGCCCTTCTCTGCATGGCAAGGGAAGTAAAGAAGATAGCCTGGGAGCATTGCCGTAAGTAAAGCCTGCAAGAGCTATTCACATACCACTTGGAAGTAGGGTGGGGCAATGTACTGGGATTTCTCTGTGGAGCTCAACAAAGAGGAAGTAAGCATTACCTCACACCACCCCATTGCCATGGCCATGGTGCAGGGACCTGGCTGAGCCCCACACTGACATCTTTCCTAGGGGACAGGTCAGAGCTGGGCACAGTGTAGCTCATTCACATGCAGGACACCCTCAGGGACTCCCAGAATTGCCTGATTTTGGGGGATGGGCTTGTGCAGGAGCTAGGGCTTAGAGTAAGTAGGTGGAGGAGAGGACAGTGAGCTGAAGGTGACGCTCCATGTTCAGGCAGGCTGGTGCATGCATCACAGGATTATGCATGCATAAAGATATCCTAGGATGGCAAAGGGGCTGTGTGGGGAGCTCAGGTGGTGGGTGATGCAGGTACCTGGAGATGGAGAAACAGAGGAGAGCTTGGGAACATATTAGGCATAAAATGAACACTGAACAAGATAAGGAGCAGGAGCAGGAAAATGATGAGGGCGAGGGGAACAGATATTCTGAGTGGAAGGAGGTGGTTAGCATGTGTAGGGTAGGAAGAGGTTATGGGCTTGTCTTGATAGTTTATGAAACTCACCAGTGGAAGGGAAAGCTGGACAAATGTATGCTACGTGAAATAAGTCAGACAGAGAAAGACAAATACCATATGATTTCATTCATGTGGAATTTAAGAAACAAAACAAGCAAAGGGGAAAAATGAGAAAGAGAGAGTCAAAGCAAGAAACAGACCCTTAACTATAGAGCACAAACTGATGGTTACCAGAGGGGACGTGGGTGGGGGGTTGGATTATATGGGGATTAAGGAGGGCACTTGTGATGAGCACAGGATGATATATGGAACTGTTGAATCACTATATTCTACACCTGCAACTGATATTATACTGTATATTAAAGAACTGGAATTAAAATAAAAACTTAAAGTAAAAAAAAAAATAGATGGGATCAAATTGCAAAGGACTTTTCACGTCACACAGTTGTTCTATGGACATCCAGGAGCCATTTGGAAGTTGAAAGAACCTGAAGTGATTCAGTCCGGAGAAGAAAAATGGTGACCATACTGATGGACTATTTGGAAACATTTATCTTGACCTTTTCATTGTCCTTCCCCTGGGGTCCACCACATTGCCTGGGGAGAAGAGAGACTGTCACATGAGAAATGCCAAAGCCACAGGTGACATCCACGTCTGTGGCTCTGGACACAGTCCTGCTGGGATGTGGGAGGGAGACCCCACCTGCTACTCTGCCTACACAGCGTCTCTGGCAGCGACAGGACCCTGTGCGCCATCCCACCAACTGCATATGGCTCCCTCCATTTCAGAGTCCTCGGGAAACACACAAAGGCCTGTATCCAAAAAGAGAATGACCCCTGGACTCCTGGGGGGCTGTCAGTGGGAAGGGAAGGCCTTCCACCTGCCCTCGGACAGTGGAGAACCCACCCTGCTCAAGCCTCTCCATTGAGTCATTTAGACCAATTCTCCTTGGTGTCCACCAGCCCTCCCCAGGGGGTTTTCTGAGGGGACTTGGGGGCGGGGGAGTGAGAGAACTCCCTCTGCAGCACAAGGGTCATCCTCAAACACAGCATGGGGCACCAGAGGACATGGAGCGAAGAGTCATGCTGAACTCAAAAGTGGATGAGCTAATCCTTCTCTGCCCAGGAAAGTGCAAAAAAAAAAAAAAGGCAGTAAGAGGGGCTTAGGATGAACTTGTGAATGCAGAGGCAGGCTTGGGAAGGTTGGGGAGCCGTGTCCTCTCCTGAGTTGGAAAAAACCTGTTTTCCCTCCTCGTCAGGGTCCAGGCGGACTGTGTGTCACCTCTGTCTCCACCTCTCCTCTCGGTCCTCATCCTAACTTTCCCAGCCTTCTCTCTTGTTACCCCCACCCCTGATCCTCCCCAGTCAGCACCTGCAGCCACCATCTCTTTCATACGGCATTCTACCCACTTCTTCTCTCTGCCAATCCATACTCTTTCCCCAAGATCCTGCTCAAAAGTCCTTCTTCCGGTGTCTTCATGGGTGAACTCCACCTTTCTCGGTGTACAAACCTCTTCTTTCTTACTCTTCAAGTTGCCCCTAGAGTCTGAATGTGTGTAAACGTGTCACACTTGGCAAATGTCTTTATGTGCCTGTGTTTTCAACTACAGTTCTGGCTCCTGGAATTGAGGGATCAAGTCTCCCTGGCCCTTGGCATATTCTCATACACCAGCAAATTACCCCTTACAAAGGACGCTAGTCAGTTGCATGGACTGGCATACAAAAGAAGAGACAGTTATCAACAGAGATGGATTTTGCTCTGTACTCCTTAGGGGCAGAAAGAATGGATTTGAACATTGTTTCATGTGTCTGTTAACCATTTGTATGTCTTCTTTGGAGAAGTGTCTGTTCATGTCTTCTGCCTATGCTAAGTGAAATAAGTCAACAGAGAAAGACAATTATCATATGGTTTCACTCATATGTGGAACGTAAGGAATAGCTCGGAGGACCATAGGGGAAGGAAGGGAAGACTGAATGGGAAGAAGTCAGAGAGGGAGACAAACCATGAGAGACTCTGGACTCTGGGAAACAAACTGAGGGTTACAGAGGGAAGGGGGGTGGGGGGATGGGGTAACAGGGTGATGGGTATTGAGGAGGGCATGTGTTGTGATGAGCACTGGGTGTTATACGCAGCTAATGAATCACTGAACACTACATCAAAAACTAATGATGTCCTATATGGTGGCCAACTGAACATAAAAAAAAAAAAATCCTTTCTGGAGTTCCAAAAAGGGAAGAACGGATTTTCTAACTTCTCATCACCCGCTCCCCCACCCCACTCAGCCCAAAGCATGGCCCCCCTGATCCTCCCTCATTACATAACTTCCTATGTTGTTCTCCAAAAAGCTCAGGCTGAAAGTCCTGTGCCTGCCAGCCAGCACACCCTCACCGTTGTACTTTTGTCCCACAAACGGAGAAGCACACACACGCACTGAGAGTGGGAGAAGTGCACCGTTCCCTGAGCTGCAGGCTCGCGTGTTTAGCTGGGTCCCAGGGGAGGGGGTGTTGCGGAGCATGGAGGACTGCCCAACCAGCCAGGTCTCCAAGGGCGATGGGCATTTCTGGGACGACTTGGAGAGGGCTGCCCAAAAGCGTCGGCACTGGGCACTCCCGGCTCAGAAGACTTGCCCTGCAGTAAAGAGTTAACCAACACCTTCTCATAATATGCAGAACGAGAACTGGAAGTAAATAGCCACCCGCTGAATGCAGGCCCCGTGAGAACCGTGAGAACCGTGTGCCCACGAGCCCTTTCCCTCTGGAGGAGGGAAGCGCATGAACTCTGCTTAGTGTACCTTGATTGTGCTTTTCCACAGAGCCAGCTCAAACTTACAGTTGGACAGAGATTGAACTATATAAAGAGATTGTAATTAAAAAAAGAAGAAGAAGATTGGGCTGTTGTTCTCAAAGATGGTGCTTCCCACCCATGGGCACCAAGCCTGTGCTTCCTACCCCAGCCCCGAGTGGGGGCCGCTGTGTCATCGACATTAATGCTGACCCATTCCTGTGTTCCTAGAATAAATTCTATGTAGTCAGGGTGCGGTATTTTTACAAAATTCTCCTCTGTATTCTAATATTTAATATCAGCTTCTTCTGTATTCATTAGTGAGGTAGGCTATAATTTCCCTTCATCTCTCTCTCTCACCAGCCCCACCCCCAGCGTTATTCTCATTCAGTTTGGAATAAAGATTGTGTGGCGGGGGCTTCTGGTGGGCTCAGTTGGTAGAGCCCCTGAGTTGGAGCCCTGTGTTGGGCGTGGAGACTACTTAAAAAATAAAATCTTAAAAAAAAAAAAGATTGTGCAGCTAATTAGAACTAAGGAAACTTTCCATCTTCTCTGCTAAGAACTTTTTTTATGTGCCACAGAACTGTTGTTTTGCTAGAATTAACTCAGAACCATCTGGACAAGAGCTTTGGGGACAATAGATGCATAACTATTGTAAAAATATGTACTGATGGTATTTGTTCAGTACACGAATAGACCAGAATAAACAAATCAATTTGGGTCATTTATATTTTCCTGGAAAATTACTAATTTCACCTGTATTTTCATATTTATTGGTTTAAACTCTGTGTGATAATCTCATGATGTTTAAACCTCTGTATCTGTTGTTTCTGATATTAATGTGTTCCTTCTTTTTTCTCTCCGACTTCTTTCATTCCTTTGAAGTCTTGCTAAAAAGTTTATTTTACTGATGTTTTGAAAGAAAATGCTATTGTTTTCACTGAGCCTATCTTCCTATTTCTTTGATAGCTGTTTTTGTCTTTTAGATTTTTTTCTTGTTTTACTTTGGGAGGGATCGTTTTATTATCCTTTTTCTGACAGTTTGATTGACATGCCTGTGACCTCATTTATTTTGTAACTCTTCCTTTCTACTAGATGCATGTAAGACTAGTCATTATTCTCTGTGTATTCCCTAGTCCACATCCCATATATAGTTTATTCATAGTTGTTTATTTTTGAGTAGTCTGTAATTTTAGTTTTGTTTTCTTCTTTTCTTTTGCAGATTTTATTTATTTGAAAGAGAGAGAGAGAAGAGGAAGGGAGAGGGAAAGTAGACTCCCTGCTGAGTGGGAAGCCCGATGCAGGGCTCCATCCCAGAACCCTGAGATCATGACCTGAGCTGAAATTAAAAAGTCCGCTTCACCGACTGAGCCACCCAGGTGCCCCTGTTTTCCTGTTTAATGCAAGAATTATTTAGAAGAATACTTTTGATTGCCCACCCCTTTGTTTATAAACTTTCTCTGTGATCTTGTTTTAGATATTACTCTAAATAAGTTACCATATACAATGTATGTAGAACAGTGTCAGGCATATAATTAATAAGTGTTTGCTATTTTCATCATTATTTTTTATATTAACATACAACGTGTTATTTGTTTCAGAGTATGATCTATTATAAGAAACATAAGATTTTTTTCTGCCACAAGATAGTCTCCATCATTTATTTATTTATTTATTTATTTATTTATTTATTTATTTATTTATTTATTTATTTATTTATTTTTGCTTATTTGAGAGAGACACAGCGAGAGAGGGAACACAAGCAGGGGGAGTGGGAGAGGGAGAAGCAGGCTTCCTGGGAAGCACAGATGTGGGGAGCAATACAAATTGTGTCCTCCTAGCAAACAAAAGTCAAGGGGCTCGATCCCAGGACCCTGGGATCATGACCTGAGCCGAAGGCAGACGCTTAATGACTGAGCCACCCAGGTGCCCCAAAGTCTCCATCTTTTAATAGGAGAACTTAAGTTGTCATATTTATTATGGTTATTGATTTCCTTGGACTTACTCTCCTCTTATTTTATGTTCCTATGAAACATGCTTTCTTCTTGTGTATTTTCTTTCCTGACTAGGTGGGTCATAGAGTTCTTTCTTCCTGACCCCTCCAGTGGTTTGAAAGTTCTATAACCTATCTTTATCTATAATTACCCTTAAAAATTTATACATTTATATACATTTTTTCTCGATGTCTAGAAGTGCTGGTCACTTCTGAATGAGACAAAATATTGAGCTTGCCTTTATCTCTCTTGCCTTCCTTTCTGCTCTTCCTCCCAGGTTTGGTTGAAACCATCTGAAAATTTTGTTTCGGATGCTCTTACATACAATTGTCTTTCCATTTTAGGAACTATTTTCTAGGATTACATTAAAAATCACAGGTGCATTAGCAGCAGTCATAAGAACAATCACCACTTTGGGAAATTTTGTTGCTTCTCTCTCTTTCTTGAGTTACATATCTCGTCTGTCTTTCCTCGGGTTTATATTCCTTGAAAAATCCTCTAGTATTTTATTTCAATAAATTTCTTTTGGAAATATGATTTCTCTGATTCTCTTCATTTCTGAAGATTTTCTTTTACTTTCTTAATTGGAAGATGATTGTTTAAAAAGGTAGGTGTGACCATGGGAGGAAAGAGGATCATAACAGAGTCAAGTGGGAAGAGGAGTGGGAAGGTGCAGGATGGGATAAAAGAGATGATCCTGATCCCTCAGAGCAGAGAGTCAACCGACAGGAAGTTGTGATGTAAAAACACACAGTGTAGACATGTGAGAGGTAAGTGAAACGGAGTCACTTATGTCAAGGTGTTCTTAAAGAGAGCCAAGAGGCCACTAGAGGTCACTAAGGATCTGGGCTTTCTGCACATTCTCACCAGATGAAACCATAAAATTTGAACTGGGCTAAACTGCAAATATTCCAAGGACTCTGCCCAAACACCTGCAACTTGCTACAATAAGAGACTTGCTTAGTGAGTGATAGCCTTAGCAACCAATTATATTCAGCCAAGCTTAGTTTTCTGCTGCCAACACCAACCAAAAGTCTTTGGAAACAACCCATAGAAACATTTCATTTTGTCTTTTGAAAACCCTTGACTTTTGTTTGCTAGGAGGACACAATTTGTATTGCTCCCCACATCTGTGCTTCCCAAATTGTAATTCTAAGACCTCAAATAAATGCTTTTGTTTTATTTCAGCTCTTCCTTTTTTCTCATTCAACCAACCTAAGGAAGTAACTACAGAAAAATCAAAATCAAAAGCCACAGAGCTCTCCCTCTGGGCAAAAAGATTGGGAGGAATAGAGGAAAGGAGAGAAAGAGGTTAGGGGACTGTTGCTTTTTATTACAGTGCTTTTGTCCAATTTCACTCTTCAAACACGAGCCTGCATTACTTTCATTAGAATAAGTCTTCTTAAATACAAAGAAAAATACAAAGGAGCTTCTTAGTTCCATCCAGATCTGGGCTGTGAGGTCAGATTTTATATGTGAGTGACTTAGCTAATGGCCCCAGCTGCATAACTTTGAAGGCTTTGTCTTCACTCCTGATTTGCTGAATGGGAATCTATTAGTGAGTCTGACTCCTGATCCAGTGCTCTGAAAAATAGGTCTGTTGAAGCCAGTAAGGGCAGATTTTTGGACTCTTAAGATTCTGAGTATATTCTAGAAGCTGAATTAGAATCCCAGGCAAACAGAGGCTGGGTTAGAGTCCCAGACTTCCCTGTTCATAAGACAGAAAGCCTGTATTAAAGGCAAGCTTCTTTGTTTGCTAGATACCATTAAGAATATGGCAGCTTTTCAGTCAACTGAAATCCCTCCTTTCCAAGCCCTTACTAACTATATGCTGCATCACTATGGTGTTCATTCTGTTTGCTTCCTTTCCTGTAGGCATTACATTACTGTGGGTAATTTGCCATTTCAAGGGCTTCTTTGGGAAACTTAATATCTCCCCAAACCATCTCATCTAAGATGTATCCCTTCCCGTCACCTTCATGCCCCCATCCTTTTACCACCTCCAATCTTCCCTTCAGCTCCCTTAGATCTTTTGATAAGGCACCCTTCATACCCCTACCTCCTGCATTCTTCTGCTCACCCCTGTGAGCCCCTTCCCATTCTAGCCCCTCAACTCCTTGTAGTCACTCAAACTCCGTGCTCCCCCATCAGGGGTCTCAAGGACCCAGGGACCCCAAAAGCAACCACTTGACATTGAAAAAAAAAAAACTAATTGGAGGCAGACTGGCTATTTTACCCACTCATATGGGCTTTGGAGATACCCAAATGTCCAATGTCTTCTCAGTCCTCAGCCCAGATTTAGCCCACAGCTTCTGTAAGATTAGATATTGGGACAAAGGCAATCTTAAAAGTCGCCTCCCACAAATACAGTGAAGAGTTTTAGCTCCCATATTGAGCCTGTAACCATAACTTCTTCCATCTGGCAGAAACACAATTCTGATAAAAATATAAAGAAGGGCAGAGAGAGGATCAAGGCTTATACACACTAGTGAGTTTTGTATTCTGTGTTTATGCCCGACTCCTGGTTAAATTTTTAGAATGAAAACCATAAAATCTCTACTTGTGTCTGTCTGTATGTATAGTATGTGTATGTGATATTTTCCCACCTCCAGATGGTGTTACCAAATTAATTTATAAAATCCCTTAAGGAAACTCTATTCTAATTGGTTTAGATAAAAATAAGTGCTTATATAAATTAAATGTTCCTAAAATTCCTGAGAATACAGAAATATTTTTCAAATTAACTTGATTTGAGTAAATCTTTGATAAATAAGATTGTTTTGATATTGTAGGTTTCATTAAAAAACAGCCATGTCTTCCTAACTGTTAGTATTAAATAAAATACGGGCATACATTCTTATTCTACTTGAACTTACTAATCAAATAAGTGAATATTATATTTGTTAGATGTGTAAGACTATAAAAATTATAAATTTGATCTTAATCAAATCAAGTCATTCTTTTTTTTTTAAGATTTTATTTACTTATTTTAGATAGAGACAATGAGAAAGAGAGAGAGAGAGAGCATGAGAGGGGGAGGGTCAGAGGGAGAAGCAGACTCCCCGCTGAGCAGGGAGCCCAATGCGGGACTCGATCCTGAGATTCCAGGATCATGACCTGAGCTGCTCATGACTGAGCCGAAGGCAGTCGCCCAACCAACTGAGTCACCCAGGCACCCAATCAAATAAAGTAATTCTAACAAACTTTATTTCAATAATAATTGTTTTATATGTCTGCTTAAAAGAAGTTTCCAAAATCTTTTTTTATTATTATTGAAATATAATTGACAAACCATGTTATATTAGTTTCAGGTGTACAACACAGTGACTCAACAATTCTAGACACTGCACTTAGCATAATAACTTCTAGGTCTATCCATGTTGTCACAAGTGGCAAGATTGCATTCTTTTTTTATGGCTGAGTAATATTCCTGTGTGTGTGTGTGTGTGTGTGTGTGTGTGAGAGAGAGAGAGAGAGACATCTTCTTTATTCATCTATTGATGGACATTTAGGTTGCTGCCATATCTTGGCTGTTGTAAATAATGCTGTGATGAACATAGGGGTACATATATCTTTTTGAATTAGTGTTTTCATTGTCTTTGGGTAAATACCCAGTGGTGGAATTATTGAATCATATATAGTTCTATTTTTAATTTTGGGAGGAACTTCTATACTGTTTTCCACAGTAGCTGCACCAATTTATATTCCCACCAACGGTGCACAAGGGTTCCCTCTCCTCCACATCCTCACCAACACTTGCTATTTCTTGTCTAGCCATTCTGACTCATGTAAGGTAATATTACATTGTGATTATGATTTATATTTCCCTGATTATGTGATGTTGAGCATCTTTTCATGTGCTGTTGACCATCTGTACCTCTTCTTTGGAAAAATGTCTATTCAGGTCTTCTGCCCATTTTATAATCAGGTTATTTGTCTGTTTGTTTTTTGGTGTGGAGTTGGGTAAGCTCTTTATTTGTTTTGGGTATCACCCCTCATCAGATATATGCCTTGCAAATATTTTCTTCCATTCAGTAGGTTACTTTTGTGTTTTGCTGATGGTTTCCTTCACTGTACAAAAGCTTTTTATTTTGATGTAGTCCCAATAGGCTGTTTTTGCATATGTTTCCCTTGCTTGAAGAGACAGATCTAGAAAAGTATTGCTAAGGTTGATGTCCAAGAAATTACTGCTTATGTTTTCTTTTAGGAGTTTTATGGTTTCAGGTCTCATATTTAGGTCTTTAATCCGTTTTTGAGTTTATTTTTGTGAATCATGTAAGAAAGTGACCCAGTTTTTTAAAATAGAAAAGAGAGTGGTTTTATCCTTTTGTATATAGCTGTCCAGTTTTCCCAACACACAAAGGAAAAGATGCTCAACATCATTCCTCATCAGGGAGATGCAAATCAAAACTTGAAGAGACTGTTGTATATTCTTACCTCCTTTATTGTAGATTAATTGGCCATATAAGCATGGATTTACTTTTGGGATCTCATTCTGTTCTATTGGTCTATACATCTATTTTATGCCAGTACCATAATGTTTTGATTGCTATAGCTTTGTCATATATCTTGAAATCTGGGATTGTGATCATCTCTAGTTTTGTTCTTCTTTCTCAAGATTTCTCAGGCTATGTCTCAATAAACATGTGGGCACTGAAATTTAAAATACAATACCACTTACAACTGCTCAAGAAAAGAGAAACACCGTGCTATAAATCTCCTCAAACACGTATAGAACTTATCTTCTATATACAATGCACATAACTGAATTGTTATTGGCACTCTTGAAGTACCAATATTACAATGATGGAGAACATTTTGGTGTTTGCCAGTTGTCAGGGATGAGAGGGTCAGGGAAGGGGGTGGTTGTAGCTAGAAAAGGGCAACAGGAGGAATCCCTGTGCTTTGTATCAATGTTAACAAGCCAGTTATGATACTACGGCTCTGCAAGATGTTACCATTGGGTTGACATTGCTGTATTATTTTTTACAACTACATGTGAATCCCCAAATATCTCAAAATAAAAAGATTGTTTAATACAAATTTTAAAAATACATACACATGTAAACACTCATGTTCCCACCTTTAGTTCTGTCATCACCTTGAGGGTCTTGAGAAAGCCTGGGAATCGCAGCAACATGCTGTTTCAGAAACTAGTCTCAGTGCACTTCACGGATACGGGACGGGAGCCTTGACCTTAGCTGCGAGTTTATTCTCACGCTTTTTTCACGATGTTGTGATGGATTGCACTTGGGGTATGAAAGAAAGAAAGGAGTTCATGTTTGGTACCTGAGCTGGTGTAGATTGAAGAATGTTGTTGTTGTGAGGTAGGGAGACTGCAGGGACTCCATTTTTAGAAAGGCTCCCTCTCTGCTGTTTCTATAATAGACCCTATTTACTCATGTTCTGTATTTCACCTTGCATCTGAATTAAACCAAAGAAGCTATGTTCCTACTCCAAAGGGAAAGCAAGAAAGTTAAATCATTCTGAGTTCATCCTAGGCCCCCAAACACCTGATAACATCTGAGAACTGGATCCCAAACATGTTCCCGGACACTAGCTTTGAACAAACCTCAGCTGACAACGACATCAATACCCACTACCTTCTATGATTTATAAAATAACACCTGTTTTTTACCTGTCATTTGCCCTTGATCAGAACCTACCCTGGACTCCTGAATGAACATGTACCTTGGACCTCTTTCCAATATAAACTCCTAGCCCCAAGCAACAGAGACTTACTCTCCTTTCCTTTCCAAGTCTCCCAAACAGTCCACCTGATATACTCTATCATTTACGCTATTTAATAAACTCTGCTTTCACTTCCTCCTGGTTTGAGTTTGACGTCTCTCCTGAGCAAACCCAAGGACCCTCTTGCTGGTCCTGTGTGTCCCCCTCTGGGTCCTACGTCAATTGTTCTAAGGTCCTTGCACCAGGGGCACAGGACTCTGCTCTGGGGACCCCTGTGGCCCCTCAAACCATCCACCATCTCTCGGTCTCTCCTGCTGCAGAGATGTGGCCCCATCTGCCAGCCGGAACCCTGAGCCTGATAAAGGAAATTTTCAAGTTTTAATATTTGTAGTCCCTGCGCCTGGTCTCCCAAGGAAGCTCACACTTTTACGAAGGTCAGAATGTCTTCATCAAACTTCAAAGTATGGGCTCTCTTTCTGCCCTGAGCACACATTGTGCATCTGCTTCGTTAGCCAATGACCTAAAAGAAACATTTCAAACTAAAGATAAGAGTAAAAATCTCCCTATGTTCTGTTCCCATATCTCCAAAGCCTGCAACCTCGCACTGACTAAAAGCAAAAGATAAAGTTTATATTTTTCTGAAATGTCTTTCATCATGATGATTTGTAACTCTTGATGTAACAAAAAACCATATATAACCCAGGATTAAACATTCCCTCTCTGGAGCACTCTCTTCTTTGTGTATCCGAGCAGCTGTCCTCACTTGCACTTGTGATCACATAAAACTCTCTTCCTTTCTTTTCAGAAATTCTGAAAGGTTTGTTCCTTTTGCATCGACAAGAGCACCCCTTGCTGTGGATTTGAAAAAGACTATGAGAGCAGAGACCCAGAGGCCTACCCTGGAGGGTGAAGGTGCAGAGTCTGTCTGTGTATCCACCAAATACTTTCACTTCTGTCTTCCTCTTTCCAAAATGTGATTGAGGCTTTTCTCATTTAACACACCCTCTGAAGCTCTTGAACTTGGGAAAGGCCTTCGCCTTCATGCTTCCCTGCTCAGAGTTGAACTGTGTGCAGGCTCCCTTAGCTGAAGAGCAGGGATTGCTGTGACAAGGTTCCTTCCCCTAACCACGCCTTCCCTGAGCTACTTTTTAACTTTTAATTTGGATTGTTTGGATATATAGAAAGGAAAATATAATGAATCCCGATATTCCTATCCATCACTAGCTTCAAAAATCACCAATTCCAAGGGTGCTTGGGGGGCTCAGTCAGTTAAGCGTCTGCCTTCGGCTCAGGTCATGATCCTGGAGTCCTGGGATTGAGCCCCGCATTGACTCTCCCTGCTTGTGCTCTCTCTCTTTCCCTTTCAAATGAATAAATAAATAATATATATATATATATCACCAATTCCTGGTCATCTCCTGTCATCTAAATGCTCGTCTAACCCCTCAACCCTCCACATAATTTTGAAGCAAATTTCAGACATTATTTCACCCATAAATATTTCAGTGTATATCTCTAAAAGTATCACTTTCTAGGGGCACCTGGGTGGCTCAGTCGTTAAGCATCTGCCTTCGGCTCAGGTCATGATCCCAGGGTCCTGGGATCCAGCCCCGCATCGGGCTCCCTGCTCCGCGGGAAGCCTGCTTCTCCCTCTCCCACTCCCCCTGCTTGTGTTCCCTCTCGCTTGTGTCTCTCTGTCAAATAAATAAATAAATAAAATCTTAAAAAAAAAAAAGTATCACCTTTTAGAGATATTACATGATAGTAGCCATAACTTATCTTTAAAAAAGTAACAATACCTATTTTCTATCATCAAATATCCAGTTATTATTCTCATTTCCCCCACTTTCTGCCACAGACAATATATAGGGATATTTGGTCTGTATGTTCAATTGGCATGCAAATAAATTCCAAATTTATAATAAATTATAATTAGTTGCTACATCTCCTAAGTATCTTGTAATCTGTTAGTTCTCTCTCCTTTTATTTTTCCTTGCAATTTTTTGTGAAAGAAAATGAAATTTTTCTGGTAGTCTGGATGTTGCCGTAGGTCACTGGCTTGATCACTTTTAACATGTTTCTCTGTCCCTGTATTTCCTGAAAATTGGTAACTGGATCTAGAGGCTTGATAAGATTCAGGGTTTTTCTGTTTGGTTGGTTGTTTTTTGTTGTTTTATCTTGTCTTTTTGTTTTTGTTTGCCCTACATCCATCCATTTTTTAGCAGTGGCAAGGACATCCTGTTAGCTAGGATGCAGTGGGGGGTTACTCAGGTCAGAAGGCTATCTGCACAGGGGACGAGGGAGAAGGGACAGAAACAGAGAAAGAATGTCTCTGTTTTGCAGAACAAGCAGCTCCCACCAAGGAGACATGTGGCCAGGAGTTCTAACGGATACACCCTTGCATGAGCCAGTTTGGAGCTGAGGACCTGTGCAGAAACCCTTTTAGCTCATAATACTAAGATCTCCGATGCGCAGGGTTTTCTGCTATTTATTGAACATCGTGTATGCACTAGCATGTTGACATGCTAGGTTTGCAGAGGTGAACCAAAGTGCCTAACTAACAAAATATTGAGAAGCACCCTGTCCCTCCCCCTAGCACAGTGAATAAAATTTTCCTGCACTAACCCCAAAGGGAAACAGTGCTTTCAGAACTATTTCCCTGTCTCCTTACTTGTTGCAAGTAGTAAAAAAAGTTTTTTTTCTCAAACCAAGAGACTTGGGCTGGTCCACTGGCTGATGTCCTGCAAACAGCGTGCACTTTTTGTTCAGTGACAATCCTAACCTCATCCTTACCCCACTGATTATCAGGGAAGCGTTTAGAAAAGAAACTTCTGGTTAAGTATTTGGTTATACTCATGTACAGGATAAATGCCTGACTTTTTCTCCCTTTATTTACCAGTTTTCTAAATAATGACGTGGTTCCCTAGCACCAAATGAGGTTTTAGGTATTTTTTTTTTTTAGTGCCATTATGAGGTGGTAGATCTAAACATACTAGATGTGTTTCAGTCCATTGCACTTATAATTCTCGCTGAAGCTCAGATCCGTTCGCCCGAAGGGAGCTGCCTCAGGCGGACCCCAATTCCTCTTGCCTGCAGCAGGGACGTCAGGCTCGCCCCCTCCCGGTCAGTCATTGCTCCTGGAGACCCCTAGTTCCTTTGTGTGCAAAACGGGATTTACATAGTCATTCTTATCCACAAACCTTTCACTTCTCCACCCCTAGTTACGATACCATTCCTAACAGTATGACAGCCACCCTCCATTTTAGGTTTACCTCTAAGACATCCTACGCTCTCTGGGTCAAAGGGCAGCAGGGCGGCCAGCACCAGCGAGATGCGGCCCGCCCACCCTCCTAGAGCGGCATCGGAAGTGCGCCGGCGGGCCTCGCGAGCGCTGCGCCGCAGCAGCCCCTCTGCCTTGGTTCCGCGTGCGCAGGGCGGGAGCTGAGGCGCCGGAGCGGCGTCGGGGCTGCGGAGGCCGGGCGCGGGCACGCGTCTCCCGGGGCGGCTGCGCGCTCCGACTGCGCCGAGCGGCGCGGAGGGCTGGCGGAGGCCGGCGCCCCGAACCCCAGCGCGGGGCGGCGGGGCCTGGCCCGGAAGCTGCCTCTGCCCCGCTCCCGCCGCGTCCGTCCGGGGGCTCCGCCGAGTCGCCTGCGCGGGGGCGTCGCGGGGCGGCCTCGGCGGAGAAAGCCTTGCGCGCGGCGGGGTGGAATTTTGCCGTATTCACCGTCTGGACGGCTGAGGAGTTGTTTAAGTGGGGGCGGGGGCGACAGGTGGAGGAGAGCGTTGCCGCCCGCCTTCCGCGCGGCCGTTCCAGCCGCGGGGGAGCGCAGGTGGCGGAGCACCGCCCGGCGGGGGACCTCCTCCGCCCCGCCGGGCGCCCGAGCGCGGGAGGGGATTGGCTTGCGCGACGGCCGGGGCGCCGCGAAGTCCGCACGAGCAGGCCTCCTCCGCAGCCCTCGTCCGCTCCGGTCCTCCCCGTGCTGCCCGTCACGGCCCTAAAGCCCAAAACCTCTTCCTTGGGGAACGTTACGTAAGCTCGCGGGTCGAACTTCGTGCAGTCGCGCTTATTTCCGTGGACGCCCCCGTGTGCAGAGTTTGCGTAAAATTTTCTGCCGTTTTCCGCCTGTTTGTCTGTCTGTCGTGAGTTCACGTGCTGTAGCCGCCAAGTCTAAGCCCAGAGGGAAAGTCTGTGTCCCCTTGGCACGTGTGATGCGTAGTTCCCAGTCCATAAATTCCTTTTAAGCGCGCGGGCCGAATCCATCCTTGAGGATGCTGGAGCGTGCTCTGAAAGCTGCGAAGTCTGCGGTTGCGTTTCCATGGAAAACCTCAGTCTGTTCTCCCAACACTTCGTATCTCTGTAGCGTCCGCATGTCCTCGTGCATTTTTGCCTTTGCACCAATGGAGAATCAGGCTTGCCCCGTGCATTAGAGTTCTCCAGAGAGACAGAAACAGTAGGGGACAGAGACGGAGGCTCAGGCGATTGTGGAGGCCAGGAAGTCCCCGAATCTGCAGCCCCAGTCAGCATCCTTAAGACCCAGAAAAAGCCACCATTTCAGTTCCAATGCAAAGGTACGGAAAAAGGCCAGTGTCCTAGTCTGAAGGCCACCAGGCAGGAAGAATTCTCTCTCACTTGCAGAAGGGTCAGCCTTTTTGTTCAATGTAGGCCTTCCACCGATTGGATGAAATCAGGAAGGGTAATCTGCTTTGCTCAGTCTGCCAATTCAAATGTGAATTTCATCCAGAAACACCCTCACAGACATGTGAGTAATGTTTGACCAAGTATCTGGGCATCCTGTGGCCTAGTCAAGTGGACACAAAATTAACCATCACACCCCATCACCAGCGAGTCGCCTTTAGGTCTTGCTGTGTGCTGCCTTATGCTTACAGGGAGGCAGGAGGAGCTCTAGGCATCATACGGACCCTGAAGCAGGAAGAAGAGGGAACAGGCAGTACCAGCCGGCTCTCTTCTGCGCTGGTTTTCTTTCTTTTCTTTTGTTTTTGTTTTTGTTCTAAGAAAAACCATTCCTGAGGTCCACAGCAGACTTCCTCACACACCCCAATGGCCCCAAATGGTCACCTGGCCTTTGGTTGCAAAGAGGTGGGGTGGGGGGTGGGAAATTGAGTGTCAGTTAAAGGAGAGTAAGAATCATTGTATTTGGTCATCTTACACTAATCATGATTGGCTTGGGAGTATTGCTACTCTTTATAATCTGGGGGCTCCATTAGCTGAGAAGGGAGATGGAATGGCTAAGGGAGGGGGTGGGGCATACAACAGTATCAGACATAGTTCACAAACAGAAAAAAATTCAATCTAGCCCTGCGTCTCTGAGACTGCATTCTTAGCATCTTTAGGGTTTGGGATGTTCATAAACTCAATCACATTTGTATAGACAATTTCTTGGCTGTTTTCTAAAAGTTAATTCTCTTTATTATGTTTGAACTTCAATAGTTTCAAACCCAGATGGCAGCCTTCTTTCTCCTGTTTCTGTGTCTCTTGGGGTTGGGGGAGGGTGTCCTTCTCAAAGTGGAAAATGGGGGTCCTGGCACTGATCATCTGTCTTGGTGGCTCTGTGGATCTGCCCAGATCCCGGGGCAAACCACTCATTTCCAGAGCAGGTCCCTCCCTGTTGCAATCAGAAGACTCCCACCTTACCCTCCCACGCTGGTCCTGGCCAATGGCCTGGATGTGCTCACAGGTGATGCCTGAGCCACCTCTCTCCCCGTACCATCCCATCTTCTGACCCGGTGCCCCACGCAGTGCCTTGTCTTAGACTGGACCAGGGGCCATTTCTGCGGGATGCAGATGAGATGTTGCTGCTTTCATGATTCAGATCTTTTATGGTGCCCCACACCTGAAGAATGAAGTCCCAGGACCTAAAGTTCAGAATTTCTAACAAAAGATGGAGTCCAAC